CTATTTTCTATTACGGACCACAATTTTACCTGAATTTAAATTCCGAAACTTTAGGTAATAATCTTGTTGCATTGTATGTTAATGACTACCCATGGATAATCCCATTCAAATCAATTGGTCACTTTCTTATATCTATGAACAGACCATATCACTGAAAGTGCCTTTATATACTGGGTTGTCGTTATATATAAAAATCTTGTCTAAAAATCTCTACAACCAATAATTGTTAATTGTTTGTCCTCGATTTTGACATATTGAAATTTAAATGCTAAAATTATTTTTAAAATAATAATTATTAATAAAAACCTTCAAGGATTATTAAAGTAACTTGTAACACAAGAAATTCGAAAGCACCAGTTTTGAAAATCGACTATTGAGTCGAGATACGGGTTTAGATTTAAGTTGTCAAATAAAAAAAAATATAAAATAAACAGAATAAAAGTTTTAGTTGAGAGCGAACGAATTTCCGCGACTGACCGGTGCAGTTATTAAACTATTATATTCTAGTTTTACTCTACTCTATAGTATTTAATGCAAAAGTATTTCTGTATTGTCCAAGTGAGGTTCACCCTCCAAATCGCTGTACATTTTCTTTCCATCTGAAAGAATCTATTTTTTATAGATCAAATTATTTCATATATTTTTGGAACGACCATTCAATGTTAAAAAGTCTTAAATGATTTATTTATTAATTATGTACATTATTACATTACAAAATTGTAATCTGCAGTAAGCCTTATTGCCTCGGAATATCCACGCAACGTTCTTAATCCATGATTAAAATGTGTCAATACTTTGACTAGTTTTGGTCAGTTTTGGTAATTGGTATTAGACTTAGACAAATTACATATAATAGTTTAAACAAAATAAACTATACTGTAACCTTTTTACCCACCAAAACTAAAATATTATTTAAAAAGTTGTAGAAAGTATGGTACGCTTCAATTAATCAATTGTTGAAACTTTTTAATTTTTGGTTCAGATTTTACAAATGAATAGGGGGCATAAAGGGTAAGTTTATCGCAAATCATTTTTTGCATATCTGATCGGTTACACCGTTATTACTTTTTTTGTTCGGAGCAAATATGAACAGCTTGAGCTTAATCTACGACATTTCTGTTTCGGTCACTTATAATTATACACCTCCCTAATGTAATGTTATATGATAATGAAACCAAATTAGAGACCATCTATAAAATTGCATCACATATTAAGGGGTTCGAGGAAGTGAAAAAAGTGTGGCATCGCTGCGAATTACAGATGGATCTGAACTGTGTAGGTGTATTTTGTTTTATGTATTGTTTTGCACAGAACTGCCGTTTTGATTTTAACACCTTAAGAAAGTCAGAAACAGAGGTCAAAGTGTCTGTCAAAAATTATATCGAAGTTGTGCACAAAATCCATACTATCCATAGGTAATACTTATTGAGGATTCAAATGCGGCAAAAATTGCTACACCTCGAGCGAATATTTGGTAGGAATGGAACAATCTTATATAATAATACATATCTCGATTTATATTTTACAATAATTTTTGCAAATGCGCCTCTGAATATCTACCAGAAACTATTAGCAGTTTGAATTTCAGTCGGAACACACTATGTTATTAGTACTACAAAATTAATTAACGTGATTTTGTTAGAAAATCTACATGTAATTAAAATGAAAGAAAATGAAAGACAAAATTAAACTTCGCGTACTCAAAAAAGTAACCTTTTTTTTAATGCAGTAGCAGACAATAGAGTTACAATTTTGGATCCTAATTTATAATAAATAAAATGATGGGTGTTGATTTCGATTAAAACTGGCAACGCTACATTCGTCAATTTTGGTCTAAAATGCCGTATTGTGGTGTTATACAAATTTTAGAGAAAGTAACTTGTTTCATATGAGAATAAATTACTGGAAAAATTATGTTGGATTCCAATTTTTGTGTAATAAAATTCATATTTAATGCTGAATGTTACAAAACGCACGAGCGATAAGGGTTCTTAGTCAACAAGGGTTTACATTAGATTATCAGAACGAAAAAATTATAGATTAAAGTTATCACTATTTATATACTTATGTCTACAAATGTAGCCTCATTTTTCCCGTTAAATATTTTGTTGTTATTTATCGGAATATACGATGTCGATCGAACATATTTAATAATAAATCCCTTTATTTATATCAAAATAACCTAACCGATGAACAAAATACAACAAATAATTTTACGCGATAAACGGAAGCGTTACTTCCTCCGTAGTGAATACATACAAGTTTATTCCTTGCCGAGCGGTCTTTGTTCCGCGTCTTTTATTTTGCTTATATTTTTGACGATAAGATAATAAAAAAAAGTGTATTGGACCTCCTGCGTCTCAAGAAAGCAACAGCTTCTTACTGCTCCATACGCACGTGTCTAAACCGGCATTCTTTATAACCGGTTCATTGAAACATAAGTGCTAATATTACATTAACAAGCTTCATTCACTACCAAAAATTGTCTTTTTGATGTCGAATATTACGTGCCAGTGGTCTTAATTTTCAGTTTTGAACTTTTGTTTTTATTTGGCTCACTGCGCCTTCCCGCTCTTCGATGGTGAGACAATACCGCCAAAACAATTAAACGGGCGCTCCAATTCTTTAAACTTGCAGGCTTGTACGGGTATATAGTATCATGAAAGTACTGCAATTATTTTGCGCAGATTAGGGATTTAGTAGAACCTTTTATTGATTTTAAATAGGTTTGGTTGTTGTGAATGCCGAGTTTTACTCAACGTAGTGAAATGAAAAGCAAATTTGACAATTTCACTTTTTGCTGATCAATTAATCAAATAATTAATTAATTAAAATTTTAAATTATAATTTTTAATACCAAATGTTTTTTCCAACTGTATTCAGTAACTTTTATAATTGTGTTTTAGAATTATACCGCCTGTGTGATCATTGAATTTGTTTCTAAATGTAAAAACATAGCCTCTACCACTACTCTACTGTAAAATAACCATTGCAAATTTATTCAAGAATCTTAACATTGAAATTCCTGTAATACTTACAATTTACGTTACAATTACATTTTTTTACCTTATACCTTTTACATGAAAACAGGGTAAATATGCTTATTTAGCATATTTACTCTGTTTTCATGCCACCATGCCAACTGTTTTACCAGTACAAGTTTATTTATTTACAAAGAAAAGTGAACAATGGATCAATGGTTTGTGGTGTGCTTATCAAACTAGTTAAAGCGATAGATACACAGAGATTTTTATTAGGTAATGATTCTCACCATAACATACAGTTATTCCACCTTCTCGGATATACAGGGCGGTTCACAATAGATGATATTACGTAGAACTAGAATATGGGAATTTAATGTAGTATATTTTGTTATGTAAATACACGTTATAATATTATGTTATGCAACAAGTGCGCTAAACGTCATTTGACTCATAAGTTAATAAACGAGTGAGGTAACGAGTTTACCAAACGTGTTGCATACTATATTTTTTCTACGACCATCACGAAAAAATCACAATTTAACAAATTAAAAATAATAACAGATTATAGTATTACTAAATTTCGTACCATTCAAACAAAATATTTACTAGTTGCCATTAAACCTATTCGTTTATCGTCCCGATCGGTTCGGCTATTGTCTCTTTTTAACTGTGCACGTTAAACAGAGAGAGATGTGTTATTGGATATATCATACAAACAACGGAATAAACAGAATTTTGAAACGTTATGTTGTTTATTTAACTTTTACAATTGATCATTAAGTAATTAATTTAAAGAGAAAGACTGTAATTGTAAGAAAAATCATCCAAGGATAGAGCTTTTAAGAGGACTAATTTTTTAAGATCATGTAAGCAACAAAAAGCAATTCCTAACCATCAATTTTGTCTTGTTGTTACTGATGAGACATGGATATATGAAAATGGTACAATTAGTCTTTGCAAGATATTAATATAAAAACTGTAAAAAATATTAAAGTTCATATGAACAGAATATAACATTTTTGTGGGAAACTTAAATTATAATTGTCACTGTATTTACCGACCAGTCCACTAGATTTTAATTGTAGCTTATATCACGTAGTATTTAAATTGTCTGGTATATTGCATAATATTTTCTTGTGTATTAGTTTTTGGGTACATTTTTGCAAAACAACACGAATACATTCACTGACATGACCGCCAGAATTGACAAACGTCAAAATTCAAACCGTGCGGTAAAGTCACGGAAATGTCCGAAGTGACTTGGATCCGTGGGAAACGAAACTGAAGTGATAAAGTGACGCTTGCCGCACGCTAGATCCGTGTGTAATTGGCCATTTTACCAAAGGGAAGTAGAAAATAGTGTATTATGCAACAAGTGCGGTAAACGGCATTTGACTCACGAGTTTATTTGACACGAGCGGAGCGAGTTTTTAATAAACGAGTGAGTTAAAAAGTTTACCGAACGTGTTGTATACTATACTTTTTCTACGACCGTTAGTTTTTGGGTACATTTTGGCAAAACAACACGAATACATTCACTGACATCACTGTCAGAATTGACAAACGTCAAAATTAAAAGCGTGGGAAATATCTCCGAAAACATCCGATTGCTTCCAAATCCGTGCGGTAAAATCCCGGAAATGTCCGAAGGAGCTCGGATTCCTGGGAAAGGAAACTGACGTGGTAAAGTGACGCTACCCGCACGCTATTATTATTCGTAATAGTGAAATACCTCGTATGATATTATGGTAGGCGAATTATATATCAGTTGCGGCATTTATTTTTCTAGAAGTTTGTATCGCAGTCTGTTGATAATGTCGGAAATGTGTTGAAAACATTTTCCTGAACAAACACAGAATATACGAATGTCAATATATGTTAAAGAATTGTTTTCGATAGGCTTGATAAACCCGAAAGTAGGTCATGTTGCATGCCTATTCACTTTTTAATCGAAATTGCCGGGTTTAGTGTATTTCCGTGATTTTGTGCTTAATTGCTATTTTTTTTTTGTTGCAGCCAACCAAAAATTATAATATCAAACTTGGGCCCTCAAATCAAGTTTGAAGACATCGAGCATCTTCTATCCCAACATGGCCGCGTCATTCATTGTGATAAGCTTACCTCAAAAGACCCGAACACGCAGGTTGTACAGATTACATACGAAACTCCGGAGCAGGCGCAAGAGTAAGTGGTTTCAAGTTTTAAATATACAGGGTTTTCTAAACGAACCGAAGCGACATCGAATATATCAGCAAAACTGGTATTTGCAATGTTGCCAGTTTCACAGATTGGCCTACTTAGCGCTCAATTTCATTGTTATGTATTATTAAAATAATTTGTTTATAATATCGTAAAGGTAACACTTGTGAAGAAATCTTGAACAGTATATTTCAGCAAAATCAAGGCTCGGTTAGGGGAACAACAAACTTGAGTCATAAGAATTTTTTGCCATGTTCTTTTTTCTGTAGATGCCTTGAAATAAAGCAAATTTGATTTGTTTAAACATCCAGGTTAATGTTGGGCTCTGTGTGACTAAATAACTAACTAATAGTGGTAGAGTTCTTTTCACAAAGGTCAGTATTTACGTATATTTTTTTGAAAGGTTATTCTAGCTCTAAAAGGAACTGTTGAACGACCGCAATTTTTATACTGGGGATATGATCAGCGTTTATAACCTCATAATTTCGTTTCAATTTATTTTCGCACCTTTGAATTTATTTAAAAATAAAGGTAAAGCAATTGATGGCATGAAATGAACTATTCTTATTGTCAGATCTATTTAAATTTATTTTTACATATAACCATGTATTGTAACTTGTTTTGTTTACGAGATACAGGGTGTAAACATTAAAAAAAAACGGTTTTTTATTACTCAAAAAACTTTCAGCTGATTTTGACAATCCTTGGCGTTATAACGGTTTTTATCTTTTGTTATCAGATGTATTGAAAGCGAAGAAGTTTTGAAACATTATCCAAATTGTACGTCGATCATCACAGCTTCTCCGTTGAGGAAAATAGTAAAGCTTGCCTAAACTCTGCCGTGAACGAGCAGGAGTGTGATCATGTCGCTATTTCAAATTAGTGTTTGGCAAAATTAAGGCGTACTTATTTTTATACAGCATTGAAGATACTTTATATTCTACGGCGAAAGATTGTTAAGACGGACGTCTTTAATTTAATTAATATTACTACAGTAAAGGCAGTGTAAACGAAAACGAAGGTAATTTTATATTTAAATGGATTCACTGGCTGAAACATGCTCTGCGGACAAACTTTTCGGGTATCCAACAGATGTCGAATATTCCTCTAATTTTAACATTTTTCACTTAGGTTTATAGAATTCTGATGCATATATGTAGGTACACTCGAGCTTATGTTAATTCTGGTAAGTGAATAATAGAATTTGTTACAGAGTACATTATTAAAAGGTAATAACAGAAAGATGATATTAATTTAATTGAATACTCAATGCTGGGACCTTACATATTTTCATGAATTTCTGTAGAATTGGTCTTAAGCAATTCTGTGTATTGCAATTATCGCGGCTTGTCACCTCAAAGCAGGCCAGAAGTTCCATCTAATTTGCTTAATTGCTAAATGATTAAAGTCAAAAAACTGTCAAACGTCTATATTTCCGACGCTACCTAAATTTATCCATCATCAATAGATTGTATTATTATTCAGGGTTTACTCTTGTCGAGTAAAATCTCGGTCCCATAATCGGAAGAATATAATTTCGTTTTCTAGTTCATTTGCTAAAAATAAATACATTTGCCAATAATTTGCGTGTTGACAAAATAAATATTTTGATTGATGCATTAAAGTTTTAATTTCCATTTCAATTTATCCATTTGAAATGAACCTTTCCTGAAATGTTTTTTAATTCATGCCCTATCTGTACAAACAACAGTAAGTACATTTAAGATACTGCTCATAGTGTTTATTTGGGAAGTGGTATCTTGAGGAATGGGTGGATGCGCCTTTTTAAAACACAATTATCGACAATGAATTAACAAGGTAATTAAAATGATGCAGTTTATAGTTTGGAAATGGAAGCGTTCAATAGTCTTATTTAAAATACTTAAATTATGAACTACTCCATTATATTCTATTATATAGTTCGATAGGAACCAGAAACTACATTTTATTTCATAGGTTGGACAAGGAATGTATGTCAAATAACTGTTACCGTCAAGTAGAAGTATTTTTCATACCAATTTCGTTCCCTGTTTGAAGCCAAGCTAATTAATATTTCCCTGTTTACAAGGAACATCCATAATGAGAGAACGTGCTTATCAAATAAATTAAGCTAGGTAGATGAAATTACTGGTAGAACGAGCTAATACAAAACATATAGCCTGCCTTTTGTAAAGTTTTTCATTCAGCGGCTGCTTTTGTTGTGTTGTTCTTTGAAAAGAGGCAAATATTTCTTTGATATTAAGGTATAAGGATACATAAGAAAAAAGGATAATTGTGGGAAGTAGGTTAATTATTGCTCTATTGAAGATCTCGGTGATTTAGAGGGTTTATAGTCCAGACACACCGGGAGATTGTGGATTCGAGTCCCACCGATAGCCATCGACTTTGGTGTGAATAAGTATGGTGCTGGCAAAATGCATTAGTAGCAACGCTAACAATTGAGAGAGTGAATGGATTGTGACGTGATTTTCTAAAAAAATATTAGTAGAATTTGTTTTCAATAGTAGGTGGTAATAATAGTTATTAAGAATTTTGTGCAGTGTTTCATTTGACATTCCAATTCCAAATTCCAATGTTGCCGTTGATTTGGGGTCAATTTAGCAACTCGAAATATTTCTAAAACATATATCATCTAGTCATCATATCATTTTTTATCATCCCGTCCCACAACATTACCATCGTTACAGTTGCTCCACGTGCACAACCAATTCAGAAGGTGATTAAAACTTTTCGGAAAGTTCTGTATTGTAACGCGAAATGAACTCACCGACTCTTCTGTTTTTAACCGAGTATTCGTATTATTATTGTTCGTGCGAAGTTCATTTGCCAGAAAATCTGCATTTGATTTTGGTGATGTGAGTGACGTACGCCATAATCTAAAGTTTTTTTTCTGTTTCAGCGCCGTTACCAACTTGAACGGCATCGAAGTCGAAGGTAAATCTCTTAAAGTTGAGCTAGTTGGGGAAAAACGTGGTCGCAGAGGTCCGCGAGGGCCAGGAATAGCTTTCGGTGGATTTCCCGGCCAAAGTCGGCAAACCGACTTCCCGCTACGTATACTCGTTCAAAGTGACATGGTAAGCGCTGCTCATATTTCACCGTCTCAAAAATCTATGTTTTAAAAAATTGTATTCGGGATATTGATAGTAAATATATTTTCCAGTTTCAGACCATTGCTGATATTTTAGTGAAATTAAATTATGTTGTCCTATAGTATCTCTCTACTTGTAATAGTAGCATCAACTTTTAAAATTTTTAACTATACACACTGTATATAATTCGATTTTAATTCGAAATTAATTGTTTTCTATGTTGTTCAAAAAAAACTTCAATTAAATATCTCACAAATTTAAACTTCTCTTGTCAAAAAACCCGATGTACCAATTTTCCTTTAGACAGGGTCAACCCTTGGTTTTCTTGACGATGATTCTTGGAATAATCTTAAAATCATAGTGGAAAATGACTTCAGTAATCACTTGAGCTGTTTTAAATAAATTCCGCTTACGGTGAACAATGAACACTCTTCAATAAAGTAGACAGATAAAATAAAATACTTCGGAATCGCAATGACATGGAATAAACACATACAAACAGGAGTAAACAACCTAAGCTCACTGATTTACAAATTCAAATATTTTAGAGAAATATTGAATAAACACCAAATGTTGATGATCTATTATGCATTAATGCAGTCACGTTTGCAATATGATATTTTGATCATATACATCTTAAAAAATAGGAAATTATGCAAAACTATTTCCTAAAAATCGTCTCTCAAAAAACTAGAAATAACTCTTCTGTACAGCTGGTTAGAGATTCGAATATAAGTTGACTTACAAATACAATACAAAAATCAAAATTAGGTGGTTGTAACTTAGAGAAATTCGTTTTTCTAAGAAAATTGTGCAATTAACCAGGAAAGGATATTGCTCTAAGATGTGTCGCATATAGACGTAACTTTTGTGTTTGGTATATTTTTTTAAAAACATGACTTGCTTTTCATCAGTTCCAATGTCGGAAACCAACCAGTTCATTAGAAAATGCAATACCATACAGGCCGTCTTATTTAGGTTATCAAACAAGAACCGGGATGGGCGCATCTCAGAAAATATTTTCTGTTTCAAAGAGATTTAGACGACGTGAAACTCATGATTTTGTGATCTGTGTTTACAGCACAACACGTTATTTCAAAAAAAAACCTAGAGATCTCCCCCAATACTTTTTTTTTTTCGTTTTTTTTTTATATTCGATTTGCTTTGTTCCGTGTAAAAGAATTTTGTCATCTAGTTCATCCACAAATATGTTCTACAATGTGAAAAAAATTATTTCATATACAAAACTGGTTTAACGTATTCTGCCATTCGATTTGCGTCGTGGTTTGGTGTTCAACCCCAATATTTATTTGTAGGTGGGAGCTATAATCGGTAGGCAGGGTTCGACTATCAGACAAATAACACAACAGACAAGAGCTCGGGTCGACGTTCATCGGAAGGACAATGTCGGATCTTTAGAAAAAGCTATAACGATTTATGGGAATCCCGAGAATTGTACAAACGCGTGCAAGAAAATTTTGGAAGTTATGCAACAAGAGGCAAACAACACGAATAAAGGGTGAGCCGGATATATTTCCTCTGGCTTTAGTTTTTTAGATTCTATCGCATCCTTATGACAACCACCACCATATGCACAGTTTTTTTTCTATCGAACTACCTCTCGATACTATTTCAATGAAATTGAACGGATGCTCACGTTTTTCAATTTGAAACAGTCCGAACAAGATTGGGTCCGCCTCTGCACTTTTTCGTTCTCTTTAAGAACGTCTTTCTAAGGCATCGCGATCGGTATACCAGCTCCTTGTTTAATTGTGGTAGGTTCGTAACGCTTTAAATTGTTTCTTAAAATAATAGGTTGTGCATTAAACAATATTACTAAATTATGGGTATAGAAAATTATAATGTATATATTATTTTAACAAAAGAAAAAGTCGATTGAACAGGCAAAAAAATAATTAAATTCTCTCCATACTTCAACATCGGTATCAGTAACAAGACATCTAACCCCTAAAGCCTGTTCTTGTCTTTAATTATTCTTCGGTGGTATTAGTTAATGAATCTATTTTGAATTACATATTTGATTTTTTATCATATAAAAATCGAGATTGAATCTAATTTCATTTGGGAAAATATACTCAAAGAGCAGCAAAATGTGGAAGTTAGGGAGTTTAACGCTTGATTTGAATAAGTCAAATAAGTGATAAAATTGATGTAGTATTATAATATATATTTGGGACAATGACACGGGGGGGGACACAGGCGTCCTTTTTGCTGCCTAATATTTTGAATAGAACCCAACTGCATAAGTTAAACATCGTATTACGTCACTGTTTGGCAACGACCGAATAGGAACTAACTAAATAGATGCCACTGGAGCCAGCAAAAATCGTGAACAAGAAGAATACCTAAAACTTAGGTTACGCGCAGGCTTAAGACGTGTTTAATTTCGGCGTTTGGACCTTACCTTTACTTTATTGTTTTTGTCATTGTTCAAAAGATTTATCAAAAAAATATTTTAAACTGCATTAGAAGAAAATTGACATAAGCCAAGCTTTATTAATTGAATTCTTTTTTTAGTGAAATTTCTCTGAAAATACTGGCCCATAACAATTTAATCGGGCGCATTATCGGTAAGGGTGGCAACACGATAAAACGTATTATGCAAGAAACCGATACAAAAATCACCGTTTCGAGTATTAACGACATTAATTCCTTTAATCTGGAACGTATTATTACCGTTAAGGGTAGCATAGAAAATATGAGCAAGGCAGAGGCCCAAATCAGTGCAAAATTACGGCAGAGCTATGAAAACGACCTCCAGGCGATGGCCCCACAGACGATGATGTTCCCAGGTAATAAGGCGCATAATGCGCATTAAAATCGGAGAAAACTTAAACTTGACCAGAAGCGATCGCGTTATTATTTATTCCGCGTTTTAGCTTGAAATAACAGTTTCTACAAAATCGATTTTTTAACGAAATCTTAATAATGTTCATCCCATTAACATTAGATGCTTATTTTTTTCTGAATTATTGTTTGAGACGAGCATCTGAGAATTGCGCGGACCAATTTTCAGATATTGTAGACTCTTGGTAAGGATCGCGAAAAACAAAACAGCCAATTTATTGACTTCAAATTAAATTATATTAAAGTATAAGAACGTCAATTTAGTTTTTAATTTTTGTGTCTTTGACTAGTGGTTTTTTTGGTTTTCCCACCATCTGATTAATTTGGGGCCATTTGTATGTTTATTAGCAAGATAATTTTCTTGATTATCACTAGTTCCCATTTTAGTTTCTAGATGACGCTTTCTATAAATAAACGATTGTTTTTTTTGTAGTTTAATTGTTTGCCGCCCCACAATGCTAAATTTAAAACCTCGACATTCACTCGACAACTTAAGTAACTCTAGGTGTATGAGAAAGCCACCCATATAGCTATTAGGTAATATAGTCGCCCTACTAGAGTAAAAATTGCTGCGCCGCAGGCGTTGACAGTTTGGTAGAGGCGAGAAATCTATTAATGTCGGCGGTCATGTTAGGTGTTGACTGAAGCAACGTCATTGGTTAAAAACGAGAATTTAAATCTCTCGCGTGCGCATGTTGAATGGCCTTCTCAATTTTTTTTTAAGTTGCTCTATAAGTTTCTGTATAATCGGTATAGGTAGAGCCTCTATATCTCTAGTTGCTATATGAATCCACCCCTAAAAATAAAAGGACAAATAATGACCATCATCAGAATTTAACTTAAGTTAACTGAATATATTATGAAAAGCTTTGTTTGTGCCAGGTTTATAACACAGTAAGAGTATGAAACGTAAAAATATGAAGCCATCAAAGTTCTGAAGATATTTTTCACGATTTTGCGATTCTCATATTGAGAGAAATAAATTCATTGGTTACAAATATGGCTAAAACATGGATATAAATCACAATGTTTTTCAGATTGAAGGTGGAGTCCGCGTTCCAACTGATCCCTCATATACCCTACATTACGCTTTTAAACATAAATTTAAACTCTTAAGAATATTTTTTTCATATATCAATATTAATATTAATTAATTAATAATTACTATTATAGATCGAGAGCTTGAAGTACTGTAAGAGTAGAGCAAGAAATTTAACACACGACTTAATTGATGTGACTCCTTTTTAGCCCCCCCCCCACATTGTAAAATGCAATCTGTTATATCCACTAAATACATTAACTTAAGACAATCAAGGCGGACTGGCACTCCACCTAAATTGAGAACTTGAACTAATATAACAGTAGGGACAGAAATTTTAACACGCAACGTAATGGACGAATATTTCAATTTGCCTCGTTTGTGTCTTCTTTGGATAAAGTAACATTAAAAGGGGGTTCCTATATGGACTTAGTTTTGGAAAGACCTAATTTTGTTTCACACAACAAATTTTCGTTAAAAAGAAACTAAAACCGTTCAAATGAAATCCGATATATAATTTGATGATTTGTAAGGTCCGCGCGAGTCTTCGCTTCTCGTCCAAACATAAGTTTTCTTTTGTAATAACAAATTTCTTAAATCTATTTTTTTTTCTTGTACCTACCGACTGATTGATTAATGTAGGGCTCCATCCTATGGCGATGATGGCAACAGCTGGTATCGGATATGGATCTCGTGGTCTTTACGCGGGCCAAGCGCCTTATCCCGGAATGTACCCAACAAGTAGTTCCGCCCAGGGCCAAGCCGGCGATACCCAAGAATCCACATACTTATACATTCCAAATAACGCGGTGGGGGCGATAATTGGGACAAAAGTAATGTATACAAAATCGTACCATGCTTTATTGTTATCGGCAATTCGCAGGGTTCGCACATACGGAACATAATTCGTTTCTCCGGCGCCTCCGTCAAAATTGCACCTCTCGATGAGACGAAAGCTCAAGAGACGCAAAACGAAAGAAGAGTGACCATTGTGGGTTCTCCTGAAGCACAGTGGAAGGTAAACTAAGGCCTCTGTAACTGTTCATCCTTATTATACAACTTTCCCGTACACATAAACGAATATTTACCAATGTTTTAGTTATGGCATTTTCCGAAATGTTTAAAGAAATTGACTTGTAGATGAGTAGGGCATTTGAAAAAATAGTCGGAATAGACACGCTCCAGAAATTCCCTAAGCCAGGTTTGACTAGGTTTCCGAAGTATGCATAGGTACCGTTAGATGTATTCAAAAATTGCACACATTTCTAATTACATATTGTGGACAATTACAAGGATGCTGAATCTGTTTCCATGTCGCAAATGGCCCCGATATCTGCATCACAGAATAAGAGAACCTTTTGTAACATTCTCAATGGAAAAACTGATGCCCCTGGAATTCCACCAGGCAACAAGAGCAACTCATAATCTCTACCAAATTCACCTTTTCAGTTACGGCATGAATGGTTTTAGTTCTACAACTAAGAGTCTAGCCAATCAACACTGCCTGATTGACATTGTTTTGCACCGTTCCACATTTGCTTGAATCAACTATGTAATAATTCCAGGTAGAAAATACTATTCTCCACGTTCTTTAAATAATGTAATAGTGTTGGAGGTTATTGCATTCTCTCTTTATCTCCTTAACCGAATCTAAATGTTTTTTTGTGATAAAAAAAACTCATTACACTTCCTGCTTCCATAATATAAATTGAAAATATAATTTCAATATTTTTTTCCGACAACAAATAGACAAATATGTAAATTGGCGAATATCTGCGTGACTTTGTAAGCAAATCTGGTCTAAAGTAAGATTTTTTGTTTTGTTTTCATTGAGTTCAATGAGTTCTGGTTGTTTTTGATTACAATAATATGGTGACTAGTTTCCAATGCATCAACGTCCCTTTTTTGTCAACATTATTTTGAGTAGAATATAATTTATTGCGCAGGCTCAATACCTGATCTTTGAAAAAATGCGAGAAGAAGGATTCGTAGCTGGTTCCGACGACGTTAGACTGACTGTCGAAATTATGGTACCTAGTTCTCAAGTAGGGCGTATTATCGGTAAGGGCGGTCAAAATGTGCGTGAATTGCAACGTGTTACCGGCAGCATAATCAAACTTCCCGAACAGGGAGCCTCGCAAGAAGACGAGACAACTGTACATATCATTGGTCCCTTTTTCAGTGTTCAAGTAAGTGTCATGTTTAGAATTTGATGTGTACCTATTTCTTCCTTTACAGTAGCATTTTAAAATGTTTGCAGAATAAAGTTTTGAACAATTTATTGGAATTTAAGGCAGTTTTGTTCAGTCTATCTTGGTACAAGTAATCTAGTTCTGGTGTTGGCCCGCGCATGGTGGTTTCCTTCAAAATTTAGTATGGTATTTGACCTAGGAATTAGCAGTGTATTAAAAAAACCTTTTTGGTCAATACCAATCAAACCATAAATTTTTAAGGGTGCGTTAAGTGAACGGATGGGCTGCTCGAAATATTAACGTGTGATATTTTATTTGGATTTACACTGTCAAGTGCTTAGTGGTATGGTCTGTTCATAGATATAAGAGAGTGACCAATTGGTTTTGAATGGGATTATCCAACGGTGGTAATTAACATACAATACAATATACAATGTGGTCAGTAATAGAAAATAATGTTATACATACCTGATTTAATATTCTTTGGTTTGGTATACTATTTAGTTTAAGTTTATTAGTAATCATTCTTATTTCGTGTGTAATACAGCGTGTATTGAATCGTGTGCGAATTATGCAAAATATGTGCGAGTCTAGTGTATCTCAGGAGATGCTCCCGCCCAAATGTAGAAAACACTATTCTATTGAGACTAAGGAAGTTATAAACAATGTTTATTTGACTCTCATTGAACGTGGCGCCAGCCAGCAAGCATCTTTAGAAGAAACAGCCACGTTGACGAAAATCCCGGCATCAACTGTATGGAAAACTGTAAATAATCCCATTTCAGCGAGGAAAAAAAGAAGCGATGCTGACATTTTGTCGAGTGTCGATGAAAGTGATCAAGACATAATACGGCGTAAAATTTATCAGTTATATAAAATTTACAATTCCAAATGGACTTTCTCTCTCTGCGAAAAATATTAAAGATTCTTCTCTGGATTGCCATGAAGACCGCACCGCTGATTTATTTGAAAGTTGGTTTAAAAACAAACTAGTTCCAAAAATTCGCCCTAATAGCGTAATTGTAATGGACAATGCAAGTTATCACGGTAGACAGTTGACTTCCTCATGTGACACAAAAGCAACAATCCAAAACTTCATGTATAATAACGACATTTATTTTCATGAAGATTATACCAAAAAGCAATTAATTGAGGTTCTACAAAGCTTGAACCTACAAAAAGAATACGTCTGTGATAATTATGCAAAAAATCTAGGGCATACAGTTTTAAGGCTCCCACCTTACCACTGTATATTTAATCCCATTGAACATGTTTGGTACCAACTGAAATCTGCCATTCATCGTAACAATGTTTTGCCCCGTGTTAACTCTAATGTCCTCAAACTTATAGAAACCGAAATTTTTAACATCCCTCCACAAAGTTGGGCAAATTCTGTTAAACATATAGAAAAAGCAGAACAATCGTATATCCATATTGTAAATAATATAGAACAAATAATAATTAGAACAGGCGATGATAGCGATAGTGATACTGATATATTATGTGAATAATTTTAAGCAATTTAAGTAGGTAATAAAAATAATTTGTAATTTTATTTTAGATTTAAACATAAATATAAATAAATAAATATTTTTTAGTATCTTTCCTAACAAAATCCCAAATAATTAATTTCTAAGCAAAGTACGGATCTGTTTGGCCATATTTCATTCTTACAGCTTGCCCGGGTCTTTCCTTAATTCGTATCAGTTAGTCACTTTCTTATATCTATGAACAGACTATAACTACACTTTGATTAGTCCAAAAGTACCAAGTGCAAGTCAATACTTTCAAGTTACCATTTAACACTTGAATTTGACAAAGTGTAATTTGGCTATATGTGTAACCAGGGTTTAAATTTACATAACCAGGCAATACTAACAAAATGAAGAATTTTTCAAAGAAATTTTCATAGGTAATACTATTTACTAAACATCTGGATTCCTGCTGCGTCGGTTGTTGAGTTGAACTTCCCAACGTTTCACCAACCATTGTGCTCTGAAGAAGCCAACAGAGAGAAAGTTCGACTCAACAAGAACCGACGCAAAAGGAATCCAGATGTTGTGTATAATTAAGAATTTAATAAAATTTTCGTTAAAAGTCTGGGTAGTAGTTTTTAAAATTGAATAAAACCAAATGAATATTAATTAACATTTTCAGTCAGCACAACGACGTATTCGCGCAATGGTAATGCAATCGGTGGTGCCCCCCGCCAGCAGGGGAAGGCAGGCGAGGCCGCCGAAAGACGGCAGCCAATCACAGTCCGAGGGTCAATCGACTGACCAACCACAGTAGTACCAGCTACCAAAGTTCACTGCCTTGTGCATAGGTTATACATGCCCTATTGTACATGAACATCTCGAGGCCTTCCACTAAAAATTATCGTCCTTTTAAGATGCAAGTATGATGGTTTTTGATGGGTTTAGTGTCACTTTAACTCCAGTATCTTCAGCAGTCTTAGTTTTTCTCGTAGTGGAAAGTTTTGAGAATAATTCGAACTGTTTGTTGTCAAACTTGGTGCCGATTTATCACAATCTACCTCAAGAAATCAAAATAAGAGTTATAGTCCTAGAAATTTCCGTTATTTACACTACCGCAACTAACCATAGCAACCTCAAGCGATACAACACACATCCAGCTCTATTTACTAAATTATTTTCAGCCGTTTTCATTACCAAAGACGCAGTTTACGCGGGAGCAGATTTAAAACTATTTCTTTATTCTTTAATTTTTTTTTACAAGCTGGATCCAATCCAAAAACAGCATCGAAGGGCGTCGAAGCTCTTCGTGTGGCGCAAAAGGGCTCGGGACGAGATATGACAGAGTTGCAAGAGTTCCAACGGTCCCGCGTCCTTTGCCAAGGTTTTTACGTGACTGTTCTTGGTTTGAGCGTGAATGTGAGACAACACTTAGTAGTAATTTTCATTGGTCAAAGACTTGGTAGATGCGCGCAAAAAAAAAAAAACAAAACCAAAGGAATCTGACCTGGCTTTTGAGGTGTCTCGCTCGATGGTTAAGAACTTTACGAAAAAAGGCATGAATGTAACGTATATTATTAAATGTTTTAATTATATTGTTAGACGATTGTTAAACAATGTTGAGTTAGTTGAGGCTGGCGCGACTTCTTAGTTATTATTTGTTAGGAGTTGAATTCGTCCCAGCCTGGACTGTGATTGTTGCACAAGTAATATACCAGACAGGACGGTAAGGTTATAGGCCTTATTGTTGGCATTGTGCCTTGTGTCAAGGCTAGCCACGTCCCAGATAGTACAAACTTGAAAGGGATAGACGGGCTTTTACAAAGCCTGGTATGATCTTTACCGAAGGTCGTAATATTGTAAAAATGAATATTTTTGATAAAAACTGTTTGTTGGGGAGGATATTTTTTTGTTAGAGAAAAAAATGAGAAAAAGTATAATTATGGGGTCGCTATTTTTAAATTGTGAAAAAAATGGATATATTATGATATTTATTAAATTTATGTATAAAGCAACTTTTAATTATTTGTACAGAAGTATAAAGTGTGCCAAAGTGCAAGAATGTTACCAGAGAGAGCTTAATTTATTTATTTATATAAATAAATAAAATTGAGGGGTGCATATATTTATTTAGGTAGTTCGAGAGTCTCAGTCGTATCCCGGTAATTACTCGGGAATGTTTTGAATAAAGAAAACGCAAAGCCATCTGAATACACCTACACATTATTGCAAAAGACGAGATGATACGAACGCGTGGTTACATTGCGAAACGGTTACCTAAGTGCATAAATAAGGTCTGTATTTAAAAAAAAAAAACAGTTTAATCCATTTATTTCACATATTGTCATCCAGAGGAAATGACTACGATACTTAGACGCAGATACAACATTTCTCCTAATAACTCGAACATAGGGAACCCGTCAAAAGTAACACCTAAATTTTTCCTTTTCTTTTGTAGCCAGGTGTAGTTCAAATTTTTCGGTGGCATGCATAACTGCAGGGGATTTTTTATAGACCTCAGTTCTACGAATTTATTTTGTTTAACTTATTATATTTTCCTGCTACATCTCGTAATAATTCCAAAAATTAACCAAATTTGGTTGAGTTAATTTGCATCCGCCAATTTATTACCAATAAAAACCTCTTGCTGTCCCATTTAAATTATTTTTCTGTTTTTGTATAACATTTTATTAATAAATTTTTTAAAATAATATCAAAAAGATTCCTTCAACATTTTACACTTGAAATGTGCCCATGCAGATTTCATACGACAAAACGGCCGCGTTTGAATTAATTTGACTGCACTGACATTTTTAAAAATCACGATAATTCAAGCAGGTTTCCCTATGTAGACCCCCAGAGAAAGACCTACGATTAAGTAGAGAGCCTCCACACATAGCCACACAAATTTTTCTACACACACATGGTAAGACACGCAACTTTACAGTCTTAGATGGAACTGTTGCAGCAACTTGTTTTACAAAGCAATTTTCGATTCATACAAAGTAAAATTGAATCTCTGCTGATTAAAAGCTTCGTATTGGAACATAGCAAGATATACAAGTTATGATATCACAAACTTGCTAGCGAGTGGAAATAATGGGATTGCGATTGTTCTTAATTTAATATCTTTGGATCGAATTACATTAATTTTAAGTTTTCTGAATAAATAAGCAAATTTACTTTTTTTCTTTGGTTTTAACAAAATTGTTTTAAGTATTTTTGTTGTTAATTGCTTCTTAAAGAAATTTGTGAGCAAGTGATATTTTTGCTTCCCCAAATTTTAATATAAGACACTGCACATTTTCTTTTACAGTCTGATCATATTCAATCCAGCAAAAATAATGTTTTTTAATGTAGTCAAATAATAGCTCTTTGTTACAAATCCAAAAATATTAAATTTCTGAAAAGTTTGCATACCCAATATTTCCACCTACGTTTTAAAATATTACACTGAATCAACACGTTAGAAACATTCTACTAGCAGTTAAAAATCAAATGCTTACCCTAATTTAATGGGCTAGTTAGTAATTAACAACCAAAACAACGCGAGGGCATTATACCACTGGCCTATAGTGCCTAGAGGTATAAAAGTTTTATTTGCTGCCTACAAATGATGTTAATTGGTTGTTTCTTCTGTTTCATTTCAAAGTTAAACACTCGTTTATCACTCTATGGGTGAATATTTCTTTATTTACAATGCTTAAAGGCAATGGTAATAATGCTATCACAATTTTTTGCACCATTATACTATTCGTTGTTATGTTAAGAATAGTTGCTGCGATATTTTGTTGCCTTAATAAAAGTTATCTAATTTTGAGGATAACACAGGTTGAAATATTATGTTGTTTACATTTACCACTTATTTAGCTATATAACCAATATCCGACTAATCTAAAACTATAATATTCATATGTAAAGTTATGTTTAACGGTTTCTTCATTATTTGATTCACAATTATTTTGATAATCATAGTATATATATGAAAGTGAGGAGACTGATTGTGCAAACAACCCAGCCCACTCTTAGATTTAGTAACCCTTAGTCCCGGATAGTACATTCTATAAGGATTTTTTGCCTGCTCGAAACAACACTAATTTCACTTCTGCAAATGCTAATAGATTCAATGTTTTAAACAAAAAAAATGCTTTGACCATATTATGTAGTAAGTGAAGAACTACTATCCGACGACCTAAGAAATAAACTACCTCAGTAATTGTATATTTCTATTAAACTTGATTTCGTTGTTCATGTTTTACTTGGGTATCAATATACATATAGGTTATACTTTTCTGGTGAATGCTATTTGTTCAAAACATTTTTGTATTACTCTAGATGATAAGGAAAGTTTTTGTGTAGGTGTGCCATTGTTTTTAACTGTAATCTAAAACAATTAATTTGTAATTTCATCAAAAGCAAATGGTAAACATTATCAGATATAGGATTTTTTGTAACGAAAATACATTATTTCATATCCACACCAATTTCGCATAGCTTATTTACTGTAAGCTACAACCGTATATGTAGTTGCCATGATCAGCAAGTGAAACATTTTGGAGGGGGTAAACGTTTGAATTTTAGTCGAGAGTCAATTATTCCAACAATTTCTGTCACAATTTTTTCACATTACCCCAATAATTCGAATATGTTTGACTTCGTAGCTAAGCCAATTGAGATAGAAAATCAAATCCTTATTGCTATACATTTTGCCACAATGTATGTGTGCAATATACAGCACACCTATTGCCTGTGGTGGCAATACATAATATTAACAACATCCCAGAAGTTTTCTCAGGAATAATAGCTCAGGTTACTTACTTTTTTTATGATAAAGTCCATGAAACCTTGTTTTCAATAACGATCGTCATTTTGTTACACTATCCTACTGTTACAATATATTTTCGTTATTTTTTAAACTATATTTGTTGGCTTATTGCAAAATGCGGGTATAAAAAAACAAAATGGTAGTTTCAAAATGTGCTTTTTGGAAACATTAATATGTACGTAATGTCAGCTATTGTCTATAATTTTCTTGTTAGATTAGCATATACGGTAAACAATGACACAATTGAACATTTCTTGGCAAGATAAAAATTACAGTTACAAATTGTATTCTATTCTGGTATAGAAATTTTTTAATCAAAATTTTTTACTTCCGTTTAAAATAAATAGTGTTCCCTTTACCAGTTGTTTTCTTTACCTATCTTGGCGAAGTAAAATATCCAGTGTTGGCAATAGGTGTTAGGCTAGGGCGCAGGCATGAAATTGATGCATCTGGGGCAGCAAAGATGGGAATGATCCTCCGCACATGCTCCAAATTTCACACTAACCTGCACTTTCTGCATAAATTGCTATCTCCTCATATCCAACCCCGTTTTTCCCTTAAAAGTTTATGGGAATTTGTCATATTTTGCTAAAATATTAGCAAAAACGCCCAAACAGAAAACGGTCCAATTTAAGTGGACATGTTGATTGTTGAGCGCCGCATGTTGCTCAAACTTGTTTTCAATCACTTATATCATTTCTTTTATCAAATCATGCTCTTAACCAATCAGACCTTACACTGTTGGACAATTACCACGACCACTGGCAGTTCTTCAATTAGACAGCTTTCAATCTAGAGCTGTTTTTTTTTGCAGTATTTCATAAAATTAAGCGCCGATCTCATTAAGATCGCTGCTTAAATAGAAAATTGTGTAGCATGCAGGTTAGGGTATGCAATTTAGGGTCATGCGCGGAAGATCATTCCCTTCTATATGAAGGCGCACCAATTTCACGATATTTACTGCCCCTATTTGTTATAGAGGAATCAAAGGCGCATACACTATTACGATATCAGTCTATCTCAGAGGCGTCTGTACCTCTGACCCATCTTGAACAAAAATTTTACCTACACCTGAACCCCACGATCGAAGTAACGCACACATGCGCAGTAAACTAATCACAACTTAATGCGCGTGTGCGCATTGGATTTTCGCATGATACAAAAACGTTGCGTATCCTGAATCCTGCCCTGCGCGAGTTACGTCACTTGGTTATGTTAAAGTAGGATCAATAACATATTAAAAACATATAAAAAAAATAAAGATTTATTTTTCATTATTGTTACAAATAAGATTACTAAACTTGTTTATTACTAGTTGATACCGCCTAAGTACAAAATATAAATCTTTTGTTGCATACGTCCTAAAATACACACGAGTAGGTTACTTTCATTCCTTTAGGGAATAATGATAAACTTATATTTAACAATAAATAAAAAATCACATGTCATATATATCTATATATCATTTTTTGGGAAAAATAATCACTAAAATTTGAATGAAATATCAATAATTCATGTGAGAGTAATAGTCTTGGAAGATTTGAACATAGATTTCCTTTTCTGCTTGAGTCATTTCAGCTATTAAACTGTCATTGACATCCGTAATGGCATAAGATTTACTACCAATAGTGACAGTTGGAACACTATCGTCATCATCATCCTCACTATCCATAGTTTCAATTTCAACCAAATCTGTTTTTTCTTTAGACATTTCATCAGAACTTGAATCAGAATCATCATTTCCTAAACCTTTAACTGCACTGGCAGTGATATTTGTTGGCCGCTTCTCATGTGCCAGAAGTACGCTCATTATATCATCATTTTTGGAAGAAGCTGCATTAGTTGATTCTTGAATTTCATCCAGTTTGCTTGTATTTTGATCTTGCACATTTGATAAAACAGTAGATTGGGTCATCCAAATTGGAGCTTCCTTTTGATTCTTTGTAATGGCGCTATTGTCTTCTGCGAACGAGATATCAACTCTAGTCTCCTCAACAGCAAGACCAGAATTTCTTGTAGCTTCTCCAGACCATTCTTGGGAATGTTGTGGTGCTATTTTTTTGTCTAACCCTCGTATGACACTAATGTCTACTGGCTCAGGCTCTAACACCTCTGGTGCTAGTTTAATACCCTCCACTTCACGAAGCAAAATGTACAGTGGTTCTAGTTGTTCATTAAATTTGGCAAGTAACAGCCGAGAATCTTTTTTAGGAAGTGCAGAAGAATCTTCTTCAACTACTTCTTTGCAGTAGGTGCATCGAAATTCACTAGTAAGAAAATCAAAAAGTTGATCTGCTTCTAAATCAGTAAATGTTTTCAAACACCCAGTGCATTTAAAACTAGCTCTACTTGTTGCATCCCTTTCCTCAGTTTCCAAGCGCTTTCGCATTAAATCTAATTTATATTTTACCACATTGACAAAACTTTTGTAATTTATAAAATAATAATTCACTTTTTGAGCCTTTCCATCAACACCCGTTTCCATCCGTAGTCTTACTTGAATAAACTTATCATTCTTTAATGTTGCAATGCGAGCTCTTAACATTTTGCGTTCAAATTTTAATAATTCACAAATATCATCCTCTTTCATACATGGATTTCTAACCAACATGTCAACGATAAGGGCATCCTCAATTGTGTAAAATCCTCTAACAACCAATCGAGCTAGCTGTTTTAAGCTACTGGGTATTTCCGTTACAAATTTTTCTTCAGTCATATTTCTTTCCAAACGTATTAATTTTCATTCTAATCTACAATAATTATTGTTTATATTATACACAGAACTAAGGTTATTTTGTATTTCTGCCTTTTTTGGTAAACAAAGGTCTATTCTTCCCAGCTTTTAAGAAGGCAAATGTACTAATGACACTCGCTCATACGGAAAAGACCAGAAATAAAAGTCATTATAAAGCATGAGGAATACGTAAGTTCAAGTTCAAGTATGCGTTTCACAAAAAAATTTTGGGCTCGACTGCTAGGATCATTCGCCCATTGCCGACTTCCGTAGAGGATCTTCGCTTTTGGTCATTGACCAACACGTACAAAGAAGACATATAACCAATATTTGCTCAACTAGCAAAAAAACAAATTTGACCGATACCAAAAAAAACCGACACCCCCCGCTTCCACCGCGGACTATCCGGGCCCATCCGGCCTCCATACCGGCGTGAACGGGGAAAAACGACGGGGCCGACGACGATTATAACTTTAAAACATGCACTGAACACTAACAACACTAAGTCCACACAGTGGAAACCGATATCAAACTTTTGAGGACGAATACAAGGGATTCTGTCGGGAGCGAACGGAGGTTAAACCGCCGCGTGCAATGCTCCACCACAGAATCCGAGGAATACGTAATTATCTTCGTCGATTCAACTTTAATGCATTATTTGTGGTGGTTAGATGATGAGTGTTGTCGCTACCTAATAAATTAACTAAAATAATAACGTAACATGTTTAAATTTTTAACCCGAAAAGACGAAAGATCGCATGAGACCAGTCTTCTTCGCTAGAGAAGACACGAAAATCCTCGACATTTAGAACTCCAAAATTCAGTCTCCTTCCTGGAGAAGATCCGAGAATCCTCGACGGAAGTCGGCAATGGGCGAATGATCCTGGTAGTCGTGCCCAACAGTTTTCTGTGAAACGCATCATTGAATTGAATTGACACCGAGCAAATTTTGTATTAAACCGTTTTTATTTTGGAGGCCATATTTTACAACGCATTCCCACTCTGCCATGTTTTTCATTAGGGTTTCGTATTTATTTAAACAACTGCGCATTTCTCGTAAATATTAAAATACTCAGAAAATTGATTTTCTAATTAGTTCCAAATTTATTCAAATCGATATAGATAAAAAAAAGCTATTTAGAAAAACCTATAAAACTAATAAGATACATTGTAATTTCTAAACGAACCGTTTCAGAGTCATGTTTGTGGTATGGGTATATTTAAAATGAGGTCTTTTTTTAAATTTAATTTGCTTGCTTGCTTCAACTGTATATGTAGGTAATCAAACAAAAAATTATCCACTCGTTATGCGCCTCTATACATATTAACGTTTTATCGGACAAAGTAAGGGTAAGCAATAGTAAAAAAGGATTTGATTTTTTAAATAAATGTATTTTGGTATGAATGTATCACTTATATTTAATCATTAACACATTCACCTATTAAAATAAACACTTAATATTGATTTGTACCCTGCGTTACTGACAATGCTGACAAATTTTAGCACACATTAAAATTTCTATTATACCAATATATAAAAATAAATCCTGGCGCTTTCAAGCATAATGTCCTTTCTTAACGCCTCGGCCTCTTTCTGAAAGATTGTATGAATGTCAAATTCAATTTTTTCATTTATTTCAATTGCTAACACCACCTTATTCACTCTCGCAATGCCGAATTATCCATTTTTAATTGTGTGCCCGTTGGCGACTCCATTGCTTACGACATGGTTGGTCTTGGCATGTGTCTGATATTCATTGGCCGTGATGTATTTAACATGTTCATTTACTACATTAAAAAAGTCCTCTTGAACTGACGCTAGATCCGTATCGCCATCGACCTAAATCAAATTATCTTTTTGTAGCTTGGAGTACTGTGAAAGTCTTAATAAGTAAATAATTTTATTCGAGCTATAGCGAACAGGCAAAAATTATAACTGGAGTAATTTTCTAAGAAATATTCTTTCTCTTTCTCTGCTCTACTGTAAAATAGTTTAAACTATGCAATGTTGCCGCTTCTAATAGTAACATGGCAAGATTGTTATCTTAAATGTAGTATGCCCTATATTATTAGATTCGTTGCTTTTTTCAGATTATTTTTTCTTAATACGTATACCTATAAAATATTAATAATTTTTTTTGCTATTTAAACTGTGGTAGTAACATTGGAATAAAATGAAACACATACAAAAAACTAAAACCTTGTTCGTAATAGCCTGGAGAGTGATGGGTGTCTTACTATAGTTAATCGGCCAATATTATCCATCGCTTTAAGCATCGGAAGAGATGATTGTCTGAATATTTCCAAACGTCTTCGAAACGCAGTGACGCTGTCATCTAGTCTTCCTTTGCCCAATTGCAATTTAGAGCAATCTAATAGAATTACAGTTGGCTTTTGTCGGAACTGAAATGATCAAAAAAAGAACTACTACTACTACTATAAGTCGCACGATCAATCTTTAGCGCTACTGTTCTATATATTATGTTCTACTAAACCAACAAAAAACAATTACCATCAATCAAATATCTACATGAAGATTTTCAGATATGAAATTATAACCTTCCTTCCTGAATTTATTTATTTCTAGAGAAACTTTATTAATAACTTATAATATATATTTTTTTAATTAGGTGCTAATCAAACTAAACTAACTAATGAATCCAAAATTTGTAGATATTTACCCTGCAACAGTGGACAGCATGTTCTGTTGTTGATAAATATACAAAGTCAGGTTATCAGGTTGATTATATTATATTATATTGGTTAGTTTTTGTGCCGTGCGTTCAATTTATCTTGATAACATTGTAATTGGCTGTAACTTTATTATTTTTAGAGATATCAAGGTAAACAAAGAAATAAAATGTAGGGTTAGTAGCAAAGTTTTTTTCCATAAAAACATAATTAATTTTCTGACATATAAGCCTACATCATATTTTTTAAATGGTACACCCTATATATTATATATGTGATTAATAGAATGTCTTATTACACTCTATAATTCATTCCACCCGCTTTTGACAAATCGTCAAAAATTGGAAAATTATATATATAGTTTCCAAGAGGGCCCTGACTGACAAATAAAAATATGTTTATGTTTGACATATTAGTAAACAACGTTGATGGTTGAATTATTATCCAAGTGATTATTAAATGGTTTTTCGCGAATTTTGCATCCGTGAGAGGAGTGATATGCGTCAAGTATACTTTCTGAATAATAAAAGTCCAGCCGGAGCTCGTCGTCGGTATATTATATATTTTATATTTATCCAGAGCGCCGAGCTCCTTCAAAACAGATATTTCCAAGGCTGGAAAACAAATTTGCAGCAGAAAATGGTAACATATTAAATGCTAAAAAGGTATGCCGGAATCATATTGGCTACTACCCTACATTTTGTTTGTTTGTTTACCTTGATATGTCTAAAAACAAAAAAGTTACAGTCAATTAAAATGTTATCAAGATAAATTGAGCGCACGGTACATAGCAATTCCATAAATGTCACTAAATCACTTGAATAGTAAGTTTTCAAAGGCGTTGGACCTTCTATTGTTTTTTCCAAATAGAAAATAAGCCCTTTACTTTAAAACCAAAGTAAAAATTTAATAAGGCTAACTAAAAACATACCAATATATGGTACCAATTTTCTATAAAATAATAATACCTACTTGGTAAATATTGCATAATTCCTGTGAAATTAAAAAGTATTTAAGTATAACTAAGTGTACCTTCGTTTCGAATTCCTGTATTTGTACCATGTCTCGAGGAAACCCGTCCAAAATGATTCCTTTTACGTTAATATTATTCATTATATGCGACTCAACCGTTTTCATAACAATATCCGTGGGTACCAGTTCTCCGTTGCTAATACAATCTTTTATCTTGACTATTTCGTTGTTGTTTCTTGGATCTGATGACTCAGCAACACTTCTACAATCGTCAAATTAAAAACACGAAGAAGTTTAAAAGCAAAATGATATAAGCAAGATTTAAAAAAAACAGATGCTCGTTTGCAAACTATAAAATTTCGTTGTAAAAACTACAACAATTCCGTATTTTAGTGATTAAAAACATTGCTTCTTGATTAAAACCAGGTCAATTAATCCATTTATGAAAATAACTAAAATAAATACAGTAATTGTGTTCATATTATTACAATCACTGCAATACATTACAATACATAGACTACAGGTTGATTCAGTGAAATGTTTCAAATGTTGTGCAACAAGTGCGGTAAAGGACATTTGTGTCACGAGTTTACTTGATACGAGCGGAACGTAGCGGAGCGAGTGTTTAATAAAAAGTTTTTCTACTCCCGTCTGTAAAATACCTAATTACCCACCGATCTAGCTTGCGAGAAGAGTCACTTTACCACGTCAGTTTCGTTTCCCACGGATCCGAGTCATTTCGGACGTTTTCGGGATTTTACCGCACCGGTTTGAGAGCAATCTGATGTTTTCGGAGATATTTCCCACGCTTTGAATTTTGACGTTTGTCAGTCCTGACGGTCATGTCGGTGAACGTATTCGTGTTGTTTTGCAAAAATATACCCAAAAACTAACGGTCGTAGAAAAAGTATAGTATGCAACTTTTTAAATCACTCGTTTATTAAACACTTGCTCCGCTGCGCTCCGCTCGTGTCAAATAAACTCGTGACTCAAATACAGTTTACCGCACTTGTTGTATAATATACTATTGCCGAACGTGTTACATACTATACTTTTTCTACGACGTTTAGTTTTTGGGTACATTTTCGTAAAACAACACGAGTACATTCACTGACATGATCGTCAGAATTGACAAACGTCAAAATTCAAGGGGTGGGAAATATCCTGTGCGGTAAAATCCCGGAAATCTCCGAATTGGCTCGGATCCGTGGGAGACGACACTGACGTGGTAAAGTGACGCTTCCCGCACGCTAGATCGGTGTGTAATTAGGCATTTTACAGGCGGGAATAGAAAAAAGGATTTATTCGATTAGACAACAAATAAAGTTTTAAGTGGGAAAAATGCTTAAAACATGAGAAACAAATTAAAATATATATTAATTTTTATCATAAAAAATACCATGTTTTCACAAAGTATCTTAAAAACGGCGGAATTTCTAAATAAATTTTGACACATTTATCAATGGAATATTCTTTAAATTGTATCCAATTTTGTTCTTGCACTAATTGCATTATCGATAAATTGTGTTTTTCTTTATATTTACACAAATAAACGACATATTATTTGGAGATGGTTTACTAGCTTAAAAACTAGTTGTTATTTTTTATAAAGTTTGACGACGATTGTGCTTCCACAATTAAACAGTGCTGTAGTCTACGATTGCTTGCCTCAAAAGTTTCCCCAGACTTATGTGGTTCCAGCCCATTTTTCTCGCAGCAGTTTGACACAATACTGCTTTGTTGCTTCCAGGACCGCCGATCACCCAGAAAACGGGAGGATAATTAAGAGGTTTTATCGGAGTGTTGAAATTGTTTTCAATCGCTGAATTCATCGAAATGACTTGAGTTTTTGGACGAGTGGTAGGAGCTGCTGCCCGCGTCGGAGGTGGAGATTCCAAAGATAATTGTGCCAAGTTTGCAGGTGTCTGTAACATTTGCGTGAAGAAATGAATAGCAAAGCAGTAATTAATGCGGATTAAGACGATTTCATCCACATTTCTACGTTGTTTTATCCTTTTTTTTTATAAAATTATTCAGAATTATTAGAATTGTTTATTTACAGCAGCAATTCTGATATGTATTCAAGGTGTGTCGAACAGGTGAAAAGGAAAGTATAGGTTCCATGGAGATATTAATAGGGAATTATGTAATGTTTACATATTTACATATTTTCATCCTTCCTAAATTTACCCGTAGTCCAAATTATGACGATCTACATTAAAACCCCTACGGTGGAACCATTAGTAAATTTGGACCCCATCCTGATCCGAATTCATATTTTGTTCGGTTCAAATCGTATCAAAAAGGCTATTTTTTCTGATACATGGTACATAGTTGTGGCATAAAACTAACACCGAGCAAAAATCTAAGATGTTATTAGATTTTACGATAAACAAGATATGCTGGTTTTGTAGCTGCATAGCAAATTTTAGACCTGATGTAAGTTTCTTCTATTGTTTCTATTTAAGTTGATATTGATCCCAAAAATCGCTTAAACTTACAACACATTGCGCCATAAACACTCAAACAATTGACCAGTTTATTGAACAGCAACAAAAGTAGGAAATTTCATACAATGTAATGTGTAATGCAGTCCAATCTAGAAAAATTGAACAAACATTGAACTTAAGATGGACCTCGGAAAGAATGAATAAATAATGAAACTGTTTCTTGTTAAATCAATTGTGTAAAACTTTTTAATGTCTGATTTTATAAAAATAATGAATTCTCGAGTCCTTAGTGATTTTGTCAGACCTTCTTGTGGTACTGAAAGAAAAAGTTCAAACGTCAGTGGTCAAATTCTGTTAATAATTAAATAAGAACCTATTGTAGTGTTAGTCGACAAAATAATAAGTCTTTTGAAACAGTTTTTTTCTACTACCTTCTGTAAAATACCTAATTTTCTCCACCAAAAGATCCAGTGGCACGACAACCATTTCATACGAAACTTTTGGGAACAATTTTTCCGGAACCAATTGTCTATTAATAGTATATTATGCAATAAGTGAGGTAAACGGCATTTGAGTCACGAGTTAATTTGGCACGAGCGGAGCGAGTGTTTAATAAACAAGTGACTTAAAAAGTTTACCAAACGTGTTGCATACTATAATTTTCCTACGACCGTTAGTTTTTAGGTACATTTTAGCAAAACAACACGAATACATTCACTGACATGACTGTCAGAATTGACAAACGTCAGAATTCAAGCCGTGCTGTAAAATCTCCGAAAACATCCGATTGGTCCCAAAGGTGTGCAGTAATATTCCTGAAATGTCCGAAGTGGCTCGGATCCGAGGGTCAAGAAACTCACCTGTTAAAGTGACGCTTTCCACACGCTAGATCGGTGTATAATTAGGTATTTTACAGAAGGAAGTGGAAAAATTATATAATAGTTCTACCCACTCAAATTCTCGTGAGTTAACTGAAAAGTTAGGAGGAAATGAATATATCCACCCTTAGTTCCATATAAATAAAAAACTTATATCAGGTTTGGTGTAATCCAAATTGTGTATGAGTGGTATGAGTGATTTTTTCCAAATCAACAATTTAACGGTAATCAGTATCCTTTTCATATGTGAGTAGACGTGCAACTAACCAAAAATATTCAACAAACTTTCCAATTACATAATACATACCTTTAACAAACACAGATTTTGCAAAAATTACAACATTTGCAGATACTAATAATAGATAATTGTTACTATAACTAATAAGGTAATTTAAAGTGTAGGTAAATTAAGACACTACCAGAGCAATGATGACGATACTTATATAAAAGTTGTTATGCGATTGTAACTATCATCCCTAGTCTCAATATTTAAATTTATAACACACAATAACGCGTTTTACCACAAGCCGAAACTAAATTTTACTTACTCGACGCGCATTTCGCCAACCAAGCATCTTCAGGAGAAGATTAAAACTAATTTTAAATTTTTATTTTCTAAAACTGTTGTGTGTTTTAAAAATAGTGAGAGCAATTGGTAATTTATCAACTAGCAAAATAAGTACCAATGAATTTCCTGAATTACTAAAGCGACTATTTCGGGGATTTTATTGAGGTGAGATCGATAATGGGTGGGTTACTTCCCATCAGAAAATGATATCGAGTGCTTAACATCAGTGACATTAATATGCAAATTATTTTCAATCGAAACAAAACAAAAAAAATAAAATATTCCAAAAAGTAACGAGACGAACGAGTTTAGAGGTTTTTAATAATTTTTCGAATTTTATAATAATAATTTGCCATTTTAGTATCTTGCTATCGCTATATAAAAAAATACAAATATAAAAAGAAAATATAAATAAAGTAAAATAGCAATTATATATGATAAATATCTTCTTTGTAAATAAATATTTTGCATAAAAATGTAATTAAAAAGTATAAAGTGTAAAGATCGGAAGAACTTCTTTGTCCTACAAAATTTTCTATATGTTAACCAGAGTCGGTGAGAGTTTATAAAGATGCGGGAATTATTTTAAAGGGTTGGGGGAAATCCCGTTTGTGCTGTCTTTGGTTCCATAAAATACTAACCGCATTTTTCTACATTTTATAGATAAATACCCCGCAAATTGTCTAAAATGAATCTAAAATAGAATGTTTAGCCTAAGTGTCTCTTAACATGTTGCAAGAATTTATTTTTTTAATCGAGAACACACCGGAATTACAATTTTACCTTTTCTGAGTTGTTATTCATTGGCACAAAATTATTTTTCGTCAGTTGCGTGAATTCAGGAGGATTATCTTGATCTCCTAGTATCCGAAATACGGCTTCTCGAAAATCTTTGTACACATCAGCCGGAGGTCTCTCACCATGAACCTAGGCAAAATTAGTTTAATGTAGCATCTACCGGGTGGACCAAAAAAATAGGGCAGTATTATATTCTCATGAGACATCGACTTTTTTTCTGGCTTTTTCAAGATAAGTAATAAGAATTTACAGTGTGTTTTTAATTTTTGTTACATTAATTGGAATCAAAACAAGTATTAATTTAATGGCCACCTACATCTAAATATTTTTTAAGGATGTTGGGCACAAAATGTTCCGAGAAATTAAAAAACGCAAAAAATCAGATCGTTTCCGGTACAACCAGAATTTATCAAAAGTTTTATTTCTCCATCTTGAAAAATGGAAGAAAACTACATCAGCTATATGCAGATATTTTTGTCGAAATAGTGTCCTGTCCAGGCATATTACACGGATCAATTTTGGCTGGTGTAACCAGAAAGCAGAATGCAGATGAGTACGAGCCCCAGTGATTCAGGGTTAAATAGGATACACTGAAAACTGAAAAATGCGATATCAATATCACTTGAAAGATTTTGTTTATTTTTCTTGACGTTGAGATATTTGGACTGAAAGAGCATTTTCTCTAAAAACGACTAGAAAAGCACAAACGAAAAGTATGTCCATTGTTTTAAGATATCTGCCAAACCAAACTCCCTCATTAGAAGTAACTAACCAAAAACGTACCGATATTAGCATGTTACTTTGGTCGAAGTATTCCGCCACAGGAATAACGTTTTTGTAAAAGTTGACAAGTTCCAACTTAGCCAGAGATAACACTAATTGACCTAATTTGGCACCATATTCAATTTGTCTCTCCAATATCTTTTGTCGCCACGATATCATTATTACACCGTTCACTACCCGAATCTAAAAATAAATATGTCTCAATAACATCAACAAATGACTTAGTTCATCAACGGTACGCAGGGTATCCTTTAAATACAGCCATCTTTTGTTTGTTTAATGACAATTTCAAATAATGAGTTAGGAATTGGCAAAAGTTTCATGGATAGATACTCTAGATATTAGCAAGAGATTTATAATACATCGAACTAATACTGGCAAAAACAGAAATTAATTTGTAATATGTCAAGTGAGTCACATTGTATTTCGCTTCATAATTTCAAACATTAGTTAGTAATATTTCAACATTCGGTAAAGGGATTGAGTTGTTAATAAAGAGATGTAATAAGTGTATTGAAGTTAAGGCAGATTAGTAATATTTCAGCATTCAGATAGAGCGTATCTTTACAATACTTCGAACTAATACTGTCAAAAACAGAAATTAATTTGTCATACGAGGTTAGCGCCAAAATTTCCCGGCCTGACATAGACGCAGCTCCAGTATCGCGATACAACTTTGTCTTCTTTTAAAGATACATCTTAGTAGGGTGCAAAAAAAAAATTGAAGTCTTGCTTCAATTAGTTTTTTATTGTCAGCATTTTAAACAAGACGTGTCCGAAAAAATGTTGCAAATAACGCAAATTGAGTACAGAGCAGTCATAAAGTTTTTGACAAAAGAAGGGTTAGCACCTAAAATTATTAAAGAAAGGCTGGATGGTGTGTACGGCCAAATTTCTCCTTCGTATTCTGTAGAGAATGAATGGGCAAAACGTTTTCGAATGGGACAGGAGAAGATGATTCAAGAACTGGTCGACCAGTGGAGGTCATAACGGAAGATATTGTTGCGATTGTGGAAGACGTGGTATTCAGTGATCGACGTTTAAAGGTCAAGGAAATCTGAAAAATTACTAAGCTTTCTAATACAAGTGTTCGTCGAATCGTGCATGATCATTTAGGTATACATAAGGTTAGTGCAAGATGGGTTCCTAAAAACCTTTCGGTTATTCAAAAACAACGCCGTGTCGAGTGTGCGCGGTCTCTGTGGGTCGGAACCAAAGCCTGTGATAGAAACTATTCTGACGGGACATGCAACTATGGTTTTCTATTATGACCCTCTATCGAAAAAAGAATCAATGGAGTGGCGTCGTAAGGGTGAAGCACCTCCAAGAAAATTCAGAGTCTGCCAGTCAACAAAAAAGGTGATGGCCACGATCTTTTGGGATTGTGACGGAATTCTTTTGATAGATTTTAAAGAAACTAATACCACTATCAATGGTAAATATTTTGCAACATTACTACATAAATTGCGAGACTGCATACGTGTAAGACGTCGAGGAAAACTGACCAGAGGCGTGCGTCTTTTGCACGATAATGCACCTGTCCATACTGCTGGTGTTGCACAAGCTGCAATTTTAGAGTGTGATTCCAACAGATAGATCATCCGCCCTATAGTCCAGATATGACCACCATCGACTATTATTTGTTTGGATATTTGAAAAAGAACTTACGTGGACGGCGGTTTTACGACGAAGTTGAGTGAGAAGAGGCTGTTTTAGCTTATTTTGCAAAAAAAACCAAAATAATATTTTTTTAAAGGGATTGAGTTGTTAATAAAGAGATGTAAGAAGTGTATTGAAGTTAAGCCAGATTAGTAATATTTCAGCATTCAGATGGAGCGTATCTTTACAATACTTCAAACTAATACTGGCAAAAACAGAAATTAATTTGTAATATGTTAGTGAGTCACCTTGCATTTCACTTTATAATTTCTGAAATTAGTTAGTAACATTTATATATACAACATAATCCGCTTCATTCTAATAGTAAGCATAGCAACTAAGTTCGGGCCTTGGCCTAAATAAAAATACAAAATCAAAGCATACGGTTCGAACAACTCAGATAAATTTCATTTCGTTTATTAGATATTTATATTCCTTTTGCCACAATTACTAATTGTAAAATCGTTACAATACCGAGCACAGAATACTAAATATTCAGTTTACAACCCCAATTAATAGAATATGGATTATAACAATTAGCGGCGGGTACATTGTATTACTAAAACGCGGTTGCAAACTGCTAATCTATTGTACCCATATTCAACCACAAGTTCCAGTTTTATAACATCCTAATCTTCGTTACGTCGAGTTAAAAATTTCGTTTTAACGTAAACTTATAATCCGGCAGTGTATTTCATCGAACTAACTAGTTCCAGATCCATATTTTTGTAATTATCGGAAACACTAAACAGGGAAAAGTGGGTACCTTTTTAAGTGTTGTGAATAATTTATCTACGCTTTAAGTACAACACACAATTCGGTGTGTTGTAATTTATGTATTCACGCTACGGACGACGTGACCCTGATATACCTCCATTAATAATTAAACAATTTAAAACTAAAAACGCTATCTCAGTTATTGTAGGGGCCGCGGAAACATACGAAAATGAGGGTTAATATTCTGGCAACTTTGCTATTGACCAGTTTTATTATTAGACTTGTACTTTGTTTCCAACTGTTATACAAGTCCACAAGTTTTCAACGCACTATTCGCTTTTCAATAGGATTATTGATTTTGAAATTTTATAAATTATAAATTAAAAACTGCGTTGGAAAATACATTACTTTTTCGGAATATTCCACCACGTCTCTCATATTACGCGGATAACCAGAAACCAAATAGGTTTTTGCACTGGGCGCCATTTTCATCTCGACCATCAAAACCTCGGTAACCGTTTTGCTAGAAAGTTGACCATAATCCAGGACATCTAAAATGAAAAAATATTATTTTCGCTTGGTCAGCTATTTGTCAGCGCGCACCTGGTGTGATTCAGCAATGTTACTCAATATTTTGTTTCAACATTGAAATATTTCAATAAACTAATTTACTGATATATTCACTTTGTTTCCCAACACAAACACAAATATTGTAGAGTAATTCTTTTAAATTAATATTGTGTTCTGAAAACACTAGAACACACTATGACATGTCCTTCGGTCATCTTAGAGTTGGTGTGGTTATTTTGTGAACCTCTAGTTTTATGATTTTAACAACATTAATGAAAGTATTTGTTAACGCTCTTATTTAGCGTCATCTAATAATAAACATTAAACAACCAGAAGCAGAAGATAAGATATTCACTAATTCGCTTGCCTGTCATGCTCACGATTAATAAACCCATGTATTAATAACAAGCAAATCTTCCGATACATCTGTATTAGTAGTTCTACTATGGTTGTTGTTAAAATATGTAAAAGTTAGGCTATCTTTAATTTACCCTATATAGAGTAATTACATATTCTGGTGACTTGAAACAAAAGATGTAATCAAATCAAAATCAAATCACTTGGAATTTTTTCCATTATTTCTTTTCTCTTTAAGTAACAAAGAATTACAACTTCTCAGGAATCTTACCATTTCCAATGGCGTATTGTTGAAGTAAATCAGACACATTAATGTGCACCACTCCTTTCTTTTCTTGCATCAAATTGTCGCAGTGTGTCACCTTTCCGCTACCCGGCCCTCCTAAAACACATTTTTGATTTCGATACTAATACTTTTGTGGATAAATTGATCCAGATTTAAAGATAGTAATAATATCATAGTAATCCTGTACATTATTTTTGAAGCCGTTTCAACACTGTTAATAGAGGGTTGTAATGTTCTCGGAATAATTACAAGTTTGGAAAGGTGCTAACCAAACCAAACTAACCAACTAAAATTTTAATGGAATTTCGTTATAAGTTTGTCAGAAAATTAAGAATTTCATAAAGAAATCCATACGGCAAGGCGTCAATTTAAAAAAAATATTGACTTGTTTCGCCCATACAGGGACCATCCGACCTACAAAATAAATTTCTAAAAAGAATAGGTCATTGTTGCATAGAATTTAAGTCAAAAGTTATTATTTTTGTCATTTTTTGTTTTGGATCATATTATTAGAAGTAAAATTTTGTAAATATTTTTTTGCTATTCAATTCTAGATCTTCATTAATTCATTATATCGTATATATGATCCCTAACAAAAATTAAAAAAAAAACATTTTCTATGCTATTTAACAAACAGGACTTAAGCTGAATTTTTAGAGATCAATTAGATAAACCAACAATTTTAACAAAGTCAGAAACCTTTTTTTTCCCTAGATTATACGAAAATTAGTATATTATGCAACAAGTGCGGAGTGCAGCGGAGCGAGTTTTTAATAAACGAGTGAGTTAAAAAGTTTAACGAACCTTTTCTACGTCATTTTCGCAAAACAACACGAATACATTCACTGACATGACCGTCAGAATTGACAAACGTCAAAATTCAAAGCGTGGGAAATATCTCCGAAAACATCCGATTGCTCCCAAACCCGTGAGGTAAGATCCCGGAAATGTCCGAACTGGTTCGAATCCGTGAGACAAGAAACTCACGTGGTAAAGTGACGCTTCCCGCACGCTAGGTCGGTGGGTAATTATGTATTTTACAGACGGGAGTAGAAAAAATATATTGCACCCTAGGTATGACTTGTCATGGAATCAAAGAGATTTTCGAGTTGCGAGGAACTAATACAAGGTGCCGCGTAAAATTTTCCATCTCGCTTCCTTGTCTTAAAATCTCATAGTAACTTTGTCATAACATTTTTCGTCATCTATATATTCCTATAATATAAGGTTTATCGATTCATTCATCAATCACTGACAAGAAGTAAAACTACTTCGGTTTCAATCTGCTCGAACAGAAGCACAAAAAATTATATTATAATGGAACACCAATTTCCACCCGGGGAATAGTTTCAAGGGGTGGCCAAAATAATAATAAAAGTGTATTAGATACAACAACTCTTTTTGATTACAATATATTGATATTTCTTGTGTAAGGATGTATGTCCAGTCCATTGTCACTAATATTTACCGAATTTACCCAAATGAAACGGTAATTTATTGTTATGCCAAACGACATTTCAAATCAAAGTAAATTTCAAAATATTTGGTTTTGAGTTAACGGCTGAAGTAGCGGTAAAATGTGGCTCAGCCTAATGAATTCGATCCGGACATTAAACAAAAATGTTATAAACTGTTGTTTATCGACTTCTTTAAAACTTTTAATTTTCTTTTGATTTCCAGATGTTGTTTCCTCGCCTTAATGGATTTGCTAACCATATTTTATTCTCGATAAAGAAACTTTTAAAAAGCACGATTCGTATAAACTTTTATTTCTTACTTCGATCATACATTTTTTTTAAATAGATGAATAAAATGAAGGTTTTTTTTACAAATTCCTAGGCACCAAGGAATATGTTTTTTATAATACTATTACTATAATGTACTACGACCAGAATTTGGCCATGGATAACAGGATGAAAAAATTATTAAATAAACATGGTGACATACCTAGATTTTGGTTAAGGTTATACAGGGTGTTTTACGGTGTTTCACTAGACGTTTTGGGAAAACGGGACTTAACAATTTGTTAAAAAATTTATCTCTTCTGTCGATATAAAATATGTCCAGTTTCGCAATATTACCGCTTGCATCGAGAAACAGAGGTAACTTTGATTTTTTTAATAGAATAACCTGTATATTGTTCCATTTTTCTTCCCACTGTCACTCTCTGATTATTTTTATAAAATTTTTCGCTATGGGGAATGTTAATAATTCGACTGAACAAAACCGAATTCTTATTGCTGGGTTACTTGAAAATCTAGAAAGGTTCAAATTTTGGCAGCATTTGGCAACTACTGGTAGAATGGTGGAATGTTATGAATATTACCATTGACATACGACTTATAAAGCTAAATGAAGGATATTCCTAAAAAAGGTATAGTAGATACGAGTTCTTTTCAGGTCTTTTTATTATTATTTTTAACATAACCTTTGCAAAAATGTTATTTATTTTGTTTTGAATTTATGTAGACTCACTTACTCATACTTACCCAATACAAAAATAACTGGAACTTTAAGGGCTTCAAATTGAATCGGGGTGTCGTTATGCATTGGAAATTTTCCTGCTGGAGGAGTAACGGCGTTTTTTGTGTAGCGTGGAGTGTTCTGAGCCCAACTTTCCGTTCCACCTTCAAGTGACTGTGAACCATTATTTTGTTCTATAGAGAAAAAATAAATGAGCTGCGTGTTCATTTTTGAAATTGAAATTAGATTTGTTAAATAACAGTTATTGTTATTATTGTATATACTTATATATTATTCTTTTAACTTATCCGTAGATTAATAAGTGATGCTACTATAAATCAAAGTATTTTTAGAATTAACGTGTAGGCTGAAAGATAACTTCAGAACGATATTTATGTTCCGTCCAAAACTTATTACATATTTTAGAGCGTTTTTTTAATGGTGTGGTAACAAGATGGCGCTCAATTCCACATAATGCATATCACAGAATACAGAAAGGCACGCCTGCTCTCCTGATATGACTTTAATGGATTTCTTCATCTGGCTTTATTTGAACGATGTTTTTTTGTCAAAGATCATCGAATAATTTTAAGGAGCTAAACGACAGAGATTCGTGAAGCATTCAAAGCAATTACTGCTCAAATGAATGTTATGTTTGTCTACAAGTCGGTCGAGTTCAATTTGTATAAATTATAATAAGAAATATAATCACACTTGCATACCTATTTTCAAAACATAAAGCTATAATTATCATTATATGCAAGTTTTTTTTCCTTGATGGTAACAATATTACGATTTTATATGATATAGATTTTCATAAATATTGTGAAATTTTAAAAAATAATAGAGGTGCATTAAAAAAAAGTTAGTGTTTTTTTAAACTAATTTACGTAATCTTACATAATATAATGTCAAATGGTTGAAATCAACCCAAATATTAAATCTTCCTGGATGACCACCACACATAAATCCTGAAATATTAAACAAATGTTTTTGTTGAAGTGATGCTTGGATTACAAACAATGCACAGCTAGCACACTTTTATTGTTTTGACAAAACCTGATGGCGCAAAGAAATGTCTATATCGATTATCTACTTTAGCCTCATTGGAGTAAAATTTTCGCTTATAAAACGTTCTATGTTGGAACCCGGTCAACGTGGTTATTTTACCCATTTTAATAGTCCTAAAAACGATTTGGACATATTGGTCTAACCGTGGATACAGGATATGTAATTTTTGACTGCCATCTATTATATCTATGTTAAAGCTAGCTCTTCTTCATAAATAAATAACATACCGCGCGTTTCATTTAAAAAAAAGTAGGCACTTGGAGTATAGCTAACTTGTTAGCACCTACCTATAATCATAAGTTTAAAATATTTTTCTAGTAACAGTTTCGCCATATATTGGCCGACATGCATGGCAGGACACCGTTGCATACCTTCAAGCAACACCGCATTTTTATATAGTAGATTATAAAAACGAAATTATAGTGTTCTTCTGAAGATATTTTGTTGAAATTAGCTTTAATTCAACGGTTGTCACAGCTCCAAAAAACATTTGATAAAATTATTTAATCACTGATTGTGATTTTTTTGGAAATAAATTATATATAACTATGTATGCAATAAGCTTCTACGTTAAAAGTAGGATTTGTAAGTAATGTATTTCACAACGTGTCAGTCAATGTAGCTCAGGTTCTCGAAAACCACACTGTACTTTTCTTTGTTAGAGCTAGAAATAATAAATATGAAAGAAAGACATATAATCCTACTCTAGGAAGAATTTGATCATCAAGATTGACATCACACATTTCTATAAATCATTTGGAATGCTACTTTTCTAAATCGAATTTTTTTTTTTTGAAAAACTAAACATATTCAAATCTCCTAGATTTAGATTTTCCATGTTTAGTGGGAATCCAAAGTTGTAAGTAATAAATACCGGTGTCGAGGCAGATTCCCATATTCCTACAGGAGGCACGGGTATATGTAAGAACGTTTTGTTAACACACAAGTTCACAAACGCGTTAAAGTCAGCATTTCCATTATAGTCACATATAATATTTTAAAGACAAACAAAAATCAACACAAACGCCAAAAATTGACTGGTGTATTTTCGAATCTACATTTTTAAAGATGACTGTGACTAATCGTGCCTTAAAACCCGAGGGGGACTGAATATTTAATAATGGTTTCTGTCGGTTTCCATGACGATTTGTGTGTAATGTGGTTTCGCTTAAATTCGCTTGCTGCGCATCCGATGACGGATCAAGTCGGTTTTTCAAAGCTATTACTACTAGTTCAGGAGATTAACCATTGATTACACGTGTAAAATATATCGTGCGGTGAATTTCACAGTCAACATCTTTTAATTTGTAGAAAATATAGTTGTAAGGGAGGACGCATAAGTCATTATTAGAATTATTTTCTTTATTGAATATTTTAAAGAGAGAAATCACTTTTATTCATTATAAAGACAAATTTTTAAAAATAAAACAGAAAAGAAGAATTTAATATTAAAAACTTAATAAACTGACATTCGTATGCAAAAAAAAACAAATAAATGATGAACGCAAACTTACGATAACGTGCTAATAACTTTTTTAAGGGACTTTTGAAAAGAAAATAACTTTATTTTTGCAATATAAATAAGTGTTATGTTAGATATACGGAGACTAGAGATATAAAGATAATAAAGTAATTTATGAAGTAACTATGAAAAAAATTTTGAGAAAGTCCACTCAACATGCGCATGCGCGAGATTCCAAATCTCGCTTTCTACCAATAACCTTGCGACACTCAACAACCAATATGGCCGCTGACAGATCGTCAATAATTTTGGAATTTTGGATGCTTGAAAAAATATATTGTAATACAAATGAATAAAATTTAATTTCATCTTTTTGTTTGTCCTTTTTTGTTTCCCGCGCGCTCGTAAAAAATAGGGTTTCTAACTCTTGTCGAAATTATAGTAACAACACCACAAAAATACAAAAAAATGCTTTATTTAAAAATACCATATAATGCTACACACAGAGAGCAAATTTTACAATTATGTTTGAAGATATCCGGGCAACTTCATTCTCATGAAAATCCAAGTTGTGAAAAATGATATTAAAATACAAATAATTCCAACAGCTGTCATCATAACTCTATTTAGTTTTGGCGTTGTTGGGCTATGGACATTATCCAAAATGATAAATCCAAGTCCCCCCATTGAGAACAAAAAGCTAGATGCCAGACCTTCCATAATGTATTGACCATTAACCCGATATGGCATGAATGCTACCTAGAAGAATTATCAAGAATAAATTTTAAACATTATTTTGTAGGATTTGAATAAGTGTCTTTTTAATTTTTGGTTTTGTTTCATTTTAGGCAACACTAAAATACTATTACATACTGGTCTAGAATGTCCATGTTCATCAGTTGTGGATCCAACACTGGGTGGTTCCACTATTACGTCATATATAATACCTACAAAAAGTACATAGTTCCGATCATTCATATAGCTATGTGATAAATTGTGGTAAACCAAAGAATGTAGTTACATCTACATAGAAAACTACATAAGAATCAATCCAGGTTGCCAATATAATAAAAAATACCCAAGATAAAAAAACAAAAACAAAATTGTGTTGCTTTTTTTTTATCTGAAATTAGCAAAAATACAATAAATACAATTTACAATTGTAAACAACAAATTAAGAAGAATTATAGTAGGCACCCTATACTCTATAACAAGATATTCGTCATCAAAGGGTAAAATAAATTTTGAAACATACGTTATTGACCTGCTAATTGCTTATTTTTTACACACAAAAAATTCTTAATATGATGTTTAGGTTATTTTGTGGACTTTTGGGAATTACATACCTTTCAGCACCCCGCCATTTACTATTTACTTCCTTTTGAGGCATATTTAATATTAATTTTGTAAAAGCAATTCAATCTGTCATTTTTTGTTTGTGTTAGTATTAAACTTCTAGTTATTGGAAGGCTATAGTTAGGATGGCTCATTTGACTGAGTACAATTTTCTTTTAGTATTAATTTTTAATTTATCTGAAACGTTACTATAATATGTTCTGGTTTATTTTATTATAAATATCCCTTTTTAACTTGAAAGTTTAATAATTTTTATATTCTTTATGATTAAGTATTTATTTTCAATTAGAAATTACGATAATAGATAAAAGAGCTGAAAGGTGTGTGTGTGTGTGTGTCTTCATTTACTCAAAAATCTGAAAAGGATAAATTAATTTTATTATAAAGGGATACATATGTATGAATTCCTAAACAATTATTATAACTATTGCTATAAGTATTACAAATCTGAACTGCACTGTATACCGACCAAATTTGCTATTAGTACCCTCTCGACTACAACTTACCACCAGTTACCAAAAAATATGACAGGAGAACAACTGAAAACATAAGCATGGCAGAGGGTGGTTTCAACCATGTGGGTTTTTTTAATTTTATTGACGGCACCTCTAAAACAGCAAACGGAAATAGAAACAACTGTTCCATTTTAGTTTAAAGTTTGGTTTTATTCAGTGAAATTAATTTGCATCGATCATTCGGCAGGTTCTGGTAAATAGGTTAAGATGACGAAATAGACAGTTCCTCTTTCGCAAAATTTAAAAAAAAAAAAATTATTATTTGGCCGAATGATCCTAGCAATATTGACCAACAGAAGTAAAAGAAGAAGAATATGAACTTTTTTTATCTATGGCAAGACTTTGCCACAGAATGATGAACGTATAATTAAAACAATAAAGCAATGGCTAAGATATAAATTAATTTAAACTCACAACTCACCAAAAGAGACAACTCATTTCAAATTAAGCTACACCAGTGAAGCGATTTGGGACTTTCGCTATAGAAATTATAAAGACCTTTGATTGATTCAGCCACTTTGCTGGGTTGAGGTCGATGAACTGAACTAATTAAAATTTTGATATTACTCAATGCTCCCACTGAGAATCGAACTCATAAGCCCCGACAAATTGGAATGTCGCAGTTCGCAGTGTTCTGTGCATTTATATATAATATGATGCTCTGGCTCTGTCATTTGTCCCAAATAGAAGATTTCTAATTTTAGATTTTTTAGGAAAAAAAAGTATAACTCATAAATATATGCAGTGACCTCTTCATCATCACTTTCATTTTTAGGAAGTTTTTATTACGTGCTTTGCCCGATCGAACGAACATGTCTTCGAGCCTGTCATCTCGATTAAAGCAAACCAAGAAACACGAACTGGCGAAGTCTCAAAGTCAAGCACAACTTCTGGCTAATAAACTGCGACAAGATGGTTTGATGGCTACGGGTAATAAAACAAAAAAAGAAATGTTACATTAAGATTGCCTATCTCTAATAATGCTTATTCAGCAATTTTAATTCCTTTTAGTTTTATAAAATGTATTTATTTTAACGCAATTAATTTATCTCTATTTTAGTTGAAAGTGTTGTGCAAGCTGTTGAACAAGTAACAGCTTTGTTAGTTTCTGATATTGAGAGTATATCTTGCAGAGACAGCATCATAAATTTATGCCAACATCTTAAGGTAGTATCCCAAAAAGCAACAGTAGATTGCGAGTATTAATCAGCTATTTAAGGTATATGGCGCATATTTGGAAATTCTCTACAAAGAGCAATTAGACCACGCTTTTAAAATAATTAGAGATAAGGCTCAAGACGATTTACGACTCAATAGACTTTTGCGATTATATTTGCTCGAACTTATCGAATTGCGTGCCAAAGGTTGGAAAGAAACTGATGGCATGAATAATTACTATAGGAAGAAAACTAACCAATGCTCACAGGTAATTTTTTGTTGCAAAATGTTTTCATGCAGCCTTTTAATTTTAATAATACTTTTTGTTTTTTTTTTTGTTTTGGAAAGTCAAACTTTTCAAGCAAACAGTTTGGTAACAAAGTGTTTTTTTTACAATGAAATTTCTTTTGTATCATACTTATTTTTTTTGTTTTTGAAAACCTTGCTCAATGAAACGCAATATTAAATTTTAAGGACTTTACTGAATCAATTGCAAGTCTGAGTGATTCATTACCTTCATTAATAACTGTGAATTCGACGCCACTATTAAGTCCGGGAGAAGTGTTGAAACCATCAGGAAAATTTGCTAAACCCACCAGAATTCCGGGTAAAAAGTATTGTAAGGACGAGGTGGTAATTCGCAACGCTGATTCTGGAAAAGGTAATTTTTTTTTTTCATAAAAGTGTACCAGTATACATCTGGTAAGTTATAGGGAGTACTGAGAAGGTCAGTGAATTTCCAATTACAAAATCACTATTAAAATGAGGTTTAATTACTACAAAATTCTCTTTCCAGGAACTTGCTTTCACTGATGTCATCATTATTATTTTTTGATTGATTTAAAAAGTTTGTTTTATGTAGATAAAAGATATATTTTTAATTATTATTATAGTGATGGGTATCAAAGGAAGGAGAGTACATATGATTGAAGAACTTAGCGAAACTATAATATCTTTCCAGCGAGGTACGCTAGTCTTTGTGTAACATGCCACAGTCACTTTATTGCTGGCTTTCCACTTATACGATGACACCTAAGTAACAAATTAACTCTAGGACATTTTCTTAATGAAAATTAAATATAACATATCTAATGCTACATTTTTTGCATTAATTTTTTCTTTGTATTTATGTTTTCTTTTCCATTTATGACTTGCGAAGTTGTTGATGTGAAATTGAGATTGCAATAGATAGGTTGCCAATTTGTCACTTGTGTCTTTGTTCAAACCAATCAAATTTATCTTTCTTGAATTAATGCTTAATTGTGATTTATCAAGAGTATTAGGAATATTCAGGTAATAGAATTGATACTAAATATTGTGTCTTAAGTCTTTCAAATTTGACATACTAAAACTTACCCTAAAACTAATATTACCTGTTTAATGTACACTTTTATCAATTATTTACTAAATTTTGAAAATCTGTCTAACTAGCTCACCTCTGTATTTTCCTTTTGCTGCATGTATGGACGTTTTTATAACTAGCTTGTTTTTGTGTAATATTCTAATCAAATTATGTTGTGGATTTATTTTTGCAATTTTTTAAGGACATACATGTAATGCCAATACTATTTCAGTTAGTCCTGGAGCTAAGGAAAGGTTGGTTCAAATTACAGGGGCTAACGAAGAAAGCATAAAGTAAGTTTTACCATCAAAATATTTATTTCATATAGAATTTCATATTTATACATTTTGTTGTTCTTCAGTTTATGTATTATGTAATTTTCCAATAGATTTTTTATTTTTTTGATTTGAAACTAAAGTGTATACCAGAGAAGCGAAGTTGTCCCCATATTGAAATGTTTGCTACATACAATCTCTTAAAAATCTCTGGTATTTTTTAGTGTAACACTTTTAACGGTAAAATTCGGTATTCGTTCAATTATATCATACGATGTTCATTAATAATTATGAAATAGCTTATGAATAGCATGGTGGACTCTCAAAGTATTGTTCAACCTTAAAACTTCGACTAAAGAAGAAATTCAAAAGGTTTTTTGAGCGTACAAAAGCATATTTTTGTAAAAATATTTTGTTGAATGTTGCTTAACTACTCAAAGAAAATGCAAATAATGGAAGTTTTTTGTAATTTTTCTTGAAACAGTCATGGTTTTTTGAGTGTACAAACGCATATTTTTGTAAAAATGTTTTGTTGAATGTTGCTTAGCTACTCAAAGAAAATGCAAATAATGGAAGTTTATTGTAATTTTTCTTGAAAAAGTCACGCTAAGCAACTAATGGAAGATACTATCAAGAGAAACGCTTCTCCGACCCGGGAACAAGGAATGCCTGCTAGTGGACCGCTCACAGGTTCGAGTTCCAGCATAAACTCGTCTGCATCAGACGATAGCGCCTTACCGCCTTCGAATAGAGCCTCGCGTGCTCTTATGCATAGTATGAGCACCCCCGATGCCAACATCAGCGAATACAAGTACACTGTAATAACAAATGGTTATACAATTAAAATAACTGGAGATAATTTGGATTTGGTTAGGGTGAGTCAAGCTTTGATTTATTAATTTAAAGGTGAATTTATCAGACAAGGACTCCGCTTTTTTTTGCTCTAATGAGAGAAACATCAAATTTGCTAAATTTATATAAAAGTCAAAAAAATAAAACCTTTAGTAGGTAAGGTAATTCTCCATACAAAACAATTATCCGCCACCAAATGTATTCCAGAAACTAAGTTGATAAAGTTGTGTGGTTTTATGGCTGTGTGGCTAGCACAATCACAAAAAAAAGGCATAATGTGGTGTGCAGCGACCCGGGCAGGCTGAGTCCCGCACCTCCACCTGAAAAATAAACTCTGAAAACGAACAGCGATTACGAAGTCCCCTTTCAACAAAGAATTAAACACTCGATAGAACGCCAAATGGAGTAGATGGTAGCGCGCTACTACTTGAACGTACTTATGGTTGTTATTTTGAATGAAATGAAATTTTAGTTTAGTTTAACCTTGGGCGGAGTGACCTTTTATGTCACCCTCGCGTTTAACGAACCAGAACCACGTTTTAAAAATGTAATATTATCCATGAGAACACATGGATAATATTACATTGAATTGAATGAGAAGGTATACAATAAAAGAGTAACTAAGAGAGCTAACTTTATTTTTATATCTGTTGTGGAGCATTTGTCGCATTTTTCATTTTACAATTGAGCTGCTGTCGTTTGCATAAGACAAAGTGCTGGGCCCTTTGACGAAACCTTTTTATAAAATATCAATTCTAAATTAGTAATTTACCTTTTTAACGGTTCACTTTTTTTTTTCACAGACCAGCAAACTCGTACTGGACGAATACTTTTCTGGAGAACCTATACATGATGTGGCGGATTTTTGTAGCTTTGATAGTTTACCAGGTCCATTGCTAACAGACGATCTCGAAAGTTCCATTTATTCTTCTGAATCTCGCGCTTCTCCGGGAGAGGTTTCGAATAGACTGTCGCCGTCCACTAGGGGCAGTACCGCGGAACCTCCGAATGTTGTTTCCAGCGAAACAGGTATTCAACTGTTTTTACCATAATTTTTTTACATATAATGTATTTCAATGCCTTTAAAATAAAAAAAAACACTTTTTGATTTCAATTGTGGGTGGTATTGCGAGGGATTTATAAGGGATTGTTTACTACATATTTAGAAAGTTGGTATACCATGGTGTTGTTCCAAACAAAAATTGCAAATATGAGTATATTGTGTATTTCATTTGTAACAATCGTAAATGGGCTGTTAAGATACAAACTACAAAAAAATGCCCTGTCTGTACATTTCATTTGTACATAAATTGAAATTAGGATGTAATAGGACTGATAGCTAAAATTTCAAATATTCTGTTGTGTGGATTAAAAAAAAATATCATTTTCGTTTGACATGCATTTGATATTCTTTTTCAACTGACTAGAAATACGGTCGAAAGGATTCGATGTATGCGTTATATTCGGACACTAGTTCATTAAACATTTTGTGTCTATTTTTAGGTAGCAGATTTCTAATTATAGATATTGATACGCATTGAAACATTCAAACAGGTCATAAACAGTTTTGTTTTAATAAAATTGAGTTGCAGGATGATTTTGTTTTCGTTGTACCATGCAGAATAATCCGTATTATGGTTTCAACGATATTGTGCAAATCTAATAACATGTTTGTTATTACACATCCTTTCATCCAATTCTGAAAAAAAAAATTTTTACTCGCATAGGAAAGAAATCGTTAGAATTTTAAACTTTATACATCCTTCTGATCACAGCATTTCAGATGCTTTTTTGTGTGCTAAAATTAGTTCATTTAAGGTCACAATTCAAATAAATATCTACTTTTTTCACATTTGTCAAAATCAGAATATTCTGTATGAACTTTTAAAAATTATTGTTAATTACCTTTATAAAAAAGTAAACTCCTAATTTAAATTTTGGAACAGATCAATCAAAAATAAGGAAGCCTCGTCTATCTGCTGACGAAATACTGCAGGAAATAAAGATAGTGAAAAACAAAGAGCAAGAATCTCGAAAAATTGATAAAACTCGTCTAACCTATTCCATAGAAGTTTTAGCGCAATTAGCGATGTCTCCATTATGTTTGACAGAACCGTCCGATTGGAAACGAATTTCTGAAGACCATCCTACCCTTCTGCGAAAGGTAAATTCTTTAAAAAATTTTGTAGCAAATCAGTTTTCTGAACGCTTGTTTTTGGTTAATTAATCGTTAAATATGCATTTTTTTAATTTTTAGGTAGTGCAAAGTTTTGATGCCAATAATTATTTATTGTCTTGCAAAGACGGGCCCAGTGAATTGAAGTCGGACGAAAATATCGTCACTTTACAGATTTGATAAATACAAATAATGCTGACGTCATACGTTACGATCTAGATATATTATGTTTTGCGAAAATGACAAATTTTATTCACTTATTTAAATGCATTTCATGTCCATTAACATCTGACTTTCTATTTGGTTTTTGTTTTTTTTTATTTTATTTTTAAAGTTTACATACACCTAATGTTGCAAGGAAATAATATATTTAAATTTCTTTATTAGTACTCACTGTTATATCTGAATAACAATCTAGTTAGTAATTGTGATACTTTTAAAATAAAAAAATATATCAATTTATTGATAGTAATTTTATAGCTGGTTGTTTCTTAAGGTTTTTTATGTTTTTGGTTAGTATCTCTTATTATTTTACATTCTCCCAGTTCTAATCATAAGATATTAAGAATCTACAACAAAGCTTCCAAATTTAATAAATACAAACCAAAAAGTTTCAGTGGTAAAGGTCAATTTTTAATCATACTATATGCACAGCTATATTGTTTTTGTTAGTATAAAGCAGCTACAGAGCAGAACTGACATTTTGACTAAAAAAAAAAACAGTGCAAAGATACCAGCAGGTTAAATTTGGAGAGAATCATTTAATTATTCAAAGAAACTTACACAGGCTACTGTAATACTTTTTCTAAAACTTCTGGACTCCTCCTGCGTCGGTTTTTGTTGAGTCGAACTAGCTAACATTTTGCCAAGCTTCCTGTTAGCTTCTTCAGAGCTTGACTGACAGTTTCAGGAATCCAGAAGTTTGATAAAAAGTGAATCATTTAGGCTTTACTCTTTTTAGAACTCTATTAGACTTACTACCACTAAAAATTCATTAGTTTTGTTTTATAACCATTAAAATTATTCTGAAATTAAAAAGTTTAAAAGTGTTGCGAAAATAAAATTAAGTTGCATGACGATTTGGTTTGTTTGGTTTTAACGATATTTTTGAAACATTTTTGTTAGTAGGCATGATTTTTGTAATAGAAATATGTAGTAATTGTACTAATAGAGTACTAAGGAAGACAATGTGTAAGCCAAACTGAGGTATAATATACATTTATATTGTTGCAGTCAATTGGTTTAATTCCTTTTGTGGAAGATTACATATGTTAAATATGATAAAAATGTTATGTGACGTGAATATGTTTCCTACTCGACTTAGAAATTATTTTTTCTCTGTCAATGCTCTAGTCATTAAAACTGGGAGATCATGTTTCATTTATTTCTGATGGGAAAAAAATGTATTTTAATTATAAGTTGCTTTTGATAGAATCATTTTATTTATATACGTACATAGTTAAATATATTGTTTTAAAACCGTTAAAATGATTTTGTATTTTTGTTTTTCACAAGATATTTCTAATTAAAAGTTTGTTATATTCACACTCATTTTTATTGTCACAATACCTCTATGGTTCCATCTGAGTTAAACGCATTTTAAAAGTACATAAAACTAAAGTTTACAGAATACTAAAATTGGTCTCACTCTCCTAAAATTCGGTGACCGCATAGAAGCAAAAGCCTTGAAACCATTCCCACATAAGCAGTGCAGCAGCAGAGTAGCCTTTGCGAAACGGGCAGTACTGACTAATAAAATCATTTTTTCGATTTTGCCTTTTATTTGCTTATTCAAAGATCACCATAGGCGTACTAGAGAATGTAACAAAGCCACCGCGCATCGACGGTAAAATGACCGATATCTACAGCGATTTCCAAAGACAACAGTGTTTGCTTCCATAACCACTCAACGAGTCGATTGGCGTGAAATGCTCCCCAAGACGTTGAAATTTTGAAGCCCTGCGCTGCTTGTGTAAGAACTGTTGTATTTAGAAATATGTTTTATTTTTTTGGAGCGGTATTTGCAGCGCCAGGACGCGTTATGAGAGAATTGCGGTTTATTGCTGATCGAAACATCGCACAGCTGCAGGCAACAAATACCAATCGAACTTATTTTTTAAGCACTATCAACTTAATCCTCATACAACGCAAACATGAAACTCATATGAAAAAAACGTAACCATTTAAAATTTTAGATATAGTTTAACATTCTTTCCGTCAATTTTTCTATTTTTTTCTGGAATTTAGAATTTAAAACAAAATGTGCAAAACTTGATGAATTAGAACTAAACATGTACTGTTTACATTTATCGATTTAAGAGATAATAACACCATAAAAACCCCTGATTTTAAAAATATACTGTAATATTCATTAAGTACAAGGGCAACACGTAAATGTTTACATAATCAAAGTTTCAAAATACACCTAAAAGAACTTGCTTGCTCAGGACAACAGCTGCAAATCGCATTTCATCAAAATCAATTAAAATTACCATGAGGCTCTTGATAAAATGTTTAGTTTTATTTTGGGCATTACTTGTCGCAACATAAAAATTAAAAAATATTATTCCGAGTTTATCGTTTGAGCGTTTTATTCGTTTTATTTCTATTAAAAATACCCTCTTGCAGAATATACTGCAACTTAGTTATTTAATGAGAGAGTTGGTTAAGCAAAAAAAAAAAAATAATAAAAATCTGTGATGTCGGTATTTATTGTATATATATATCTGTTAATTCTATGAAGCACAATCACTTCTTCATACACATCTCTACAATACATCAAGAATGAAAAGAAAACCAAATCTAGTGAACAAAATTCAGTCAACTGAAAAGTATTCACAAACATTTGAAATATGCCTAGTAATCTAAGTGTGTCAAGCAATTATATATGCACTTAACCTAAGTCTTTTGTATTTTGATGACTAAATTCACATTTTCCTGAAACAAACAATTATTCAATTGGGTGGTTAGTTGGTTAGTTTTAGTCTTGTTAGCTTACCTTGGAAAAATTTTTGGGATTGGATATCCGAAAGCAGTTACAGGCAATTCTTCGGTTATTTCTATGTATTTAATATCTTCCATTCTGGGCCATAAACTAAACAAACCTTCATGATTGTCATCACTCTTAGAACCAGACAAGCCTTTTTCATGTCTCTGCTTAAGCTTCTCTATGACCCTTTGTTCTCTTATTCTCTGAACATCCCACCTATATATTACATAAAATAGCTAGGGTATAATACATAACCGAATACTTAGCTCATTTATTAATCAACACAAAAAATGCTTACTTTCGTGATTAATAGAATGCTTGATAAGAAAATAAATATGATCAATATTTGCTTCAAACTGGTGGACAATAATTTAATAGAAACACTAAGATATTGTCAAACTTATAAAATAAAGACAATTAAAATTTGACAATCTCTTCTAAATAGACTCAAACTCAAGCCAATTCCATATAACTTGTAAACAGTTTAGTAAATTTGATGGCAAGTGTTTAAGTATGTCTGTTCTTTATACATTTTAACAAATTTTAGCAAATGGGTTTTTCGCGCTTTATCAAGTCGAACAAATTAACACTATTAAACCCCAAACAAAAAAATAAAAGGAAAAAACTTTAGGTAATTATTAGATAGAAGATTATGAAGTGGAAGCAAAGGCAGATATATTTCTGGTAGTAGTTACGTACAGAAAGTAAATATAAATGTCTCCATTTAGTGACACAACAAACGTCAATGCAATAAAAAATGAAGTTGGTTCAAACTATAGTAAAACTTGACTAATAGAGTGGTAAAAAGAAATTACCTCTTCCGTCTCCTTTCGTCAATTTCCAATCTTAAATGTCGCTTATTATATACTTCATCATCCAAGTTCTCCGTGCCTTCCATTGTGTAACAGCTTGTATACAATTTAACTCTCCATCTTGGCACCTAAAATAGTCAATACTTTTTAATTCAATGTACATTCATAATGTTTTTGCATAATTGAGCAAAATATATAAATTTATCCTTCCCAAAGGAAAGAAAAAAGCTGCACTTTTCTGCTATTAACTACCATATATTTTTATAAAAACACTGGATATAGAAAAAAAAAATGTTTGTAGAAAACTGACAATCCTGCAAGAGGATAAGTTTTATGTATGCACTTGTAAGACACAAATACCTATTTTATTGTGTTACACAATAAGACTTTATCACATAAACAATAATTTACCTCTAATGTGGTAATACTGGACACTTCATTAAATTCAGAGTCCATAAGGTTATGTTCATTGCAGGCATTTGTCGCATATGGCTCCTTGGTAGTTAAAATACGACATCCTTTTGACAAACCTAATTGAGAATTTGTTAAGAGGCTTAATAAATCCAATAATTACAACTTTTAAAAAATAATTACTTACACCTTTTTTTACGTTTTAAATTTTCTTTGCCTTTCATAGCTGTTGCTTCAATATTTGATAACACAGAAGAATTACTGGTCACACGTTTCCGCCTAATACTCATTCTCACATTTTTAAATGGATCAAACTCACACAAAGTGTCAAGATTAAAACTACACTCCGATGAAATATTACATTCAATATTATCACTTTCTTCTTTAAAATTGTCATTAAATTCATTCACCATGTAATCTCCTTGTTTCAAACAATCAACAACATTAAAGCTTTCTTCATCTATAGTTGTATCAACCTGAGATTCAGTGTCACTGATATGATTTGATCCATAGTTAATCACTTCTAATGAACAACTGACCACATCATCTCTTTGCTGCAAAACTTGCTCTTTATTGTCAACGTATGGATTAGAAGAATCTTCTGTCATATCTTCTTCAAAAATGCCTTCGGTATCCTTACACTTACCAGTGAAAAACTTTTCAGGATCATATGGAATACCCTTTTCCACACACTTTAATTGTTCCCGAAGCTGAAACATTTCAAACAAAATGATAGATTGATAGTTAAATTTATTGATGCTAATACATGTCCTAACATTTGAATTTGCATTAAAACATTCACATAAATGCAAACAAAATACTAAAATACATTCAATTTAAACTTACTATTTCATTTTGTCGCTTCAAAAAGAATATTTGACGTTCCTTATCAAGTATATCATCGTTTTGTTGCTGTATCAAATCACTGTGCAGAAGCAACCATTCTTTTAAAGCCTGAATTTCACACTCACTTGTTTGAGTTTTTAGATCTGATGAGGTCACTTCAATACTTTCGGAACACGTTGCATACATGGGAATACAAAATTTCCTGTCATCATTACTATAATCCAAAGGCTGAATTGTGGGTTCGAAATAATTTATAGATTCAGACAATTTTACATCTGTTGCATGATAAAAATCTTCAGACATCTTAAGATTCATTCGGTTTATGTTTGGTTCATTGTTGACTATTGGCATGTTCCACTATGAATAAGCAATTTCAGTTGTTACATTGCGTAAGTTATACATTATAATATACTTGCCTCCTTGGCAAGTATATTATGTATGGATAGGACTTGGCTTCAAACATTTACAATTACATTTGAAACGTTTTGCGATTTATAAAATTATTTATCATCCGATCACTACATGTACATAGAGCGTGCTCATACAAACAATTTGAACTTCTCACAACTTAACACTTGTTTGTTGACGCCGGGACATTTACTTCAAACGATTCATAATGTATTAATTGTAATTAGCGATTACCCAATATTAAACAACCTTCGACGATGGTCCAAGGAAACAAATTAAGTGATCTACATATAAATGTAAGTGGCGTTAAAACAACGCAATTGTAACGAAATGCGATCTAAATAATTACAACTTTATGACATAAATCACAGACGAATGTGTATCTTCGTTTTCTTCGAAGAAATAGTACGAGCCATAGACCAAATTTTATTTCTCTGCAATTTACTAAGGTCAGGCGCCCATGCCACAGAAGAATGAAAAATAAAGAAATTAATTGCACTTTGCAGCGGTTTAAAAACAAATTGTGATTATTCGGAAATTGAATTCTTTTTGACACTTAAGCTAGGTCGCCAATTATTGAGATTTTCTAATATGGTACTACCTTGGCTTAATATAAAGTTTCCAAATAGTATCTCGAATAAACCTTTTCCTGATCCATGAAATTAAAGAGTTACCATTTTATTTCTCCTGAAATGACAGCGTTTTGTTTTGCTTCCGCAAATGACTTTTAGGTTATGTCGAATGTAAATTATTGGCAATTGGCATTGTGTCAAAAACATTCTCAAAAATACATATTATAGCATACACACATGATTCTAATTTATTATTAACAGTTTGTTCAAATTTATAATTTTAAAATGGTGGGTAATTCCCGTGTTTGCAAACTCGCGAAACTACTCAGTTCAATGAGATCTAGTTATTAAAGCGTTTTTAATTTTAGCATAAACTTAAATCTTCTCAGCGGGAAAAAGTGAAGAAGTTTATATCATTTACTCAAACAGGAGAAAATACTGCTATATATTGTCTTACACAAAATGATTGGAAACTTGACTTGGCTAGTGACAACTACTTTCAAAATCCAGACGCATATTACAGAGATGCAAGGAATGTGGACAAAAAGAAGCTGGAATCTTTGTATAATAGATACAAAGATCCTATTGAGCCTGAAAAAATCACAGTTGATGGAATTATGAAATTTCTAGATGACTTGGGATTACCTCCTGAATCTAGACTCGTATTGATTATTGCTTGGAAATTTAAAGCAGCTACTCAGTGTGAGTTCACAAGGGACGAGTTTGTGAATGGTATGACAGATCTCGGTTGTGATGGTATTGAAAAGTTGAAGGGAAAACTTCCAGTTCTTGAGAATGAGTTACGAGACAACTTTAAGTTTAAAGATTTTTATCAGTTCACATTCAACTTTGCAAAAAATCCCAATCAGAAAAGTTTAGATTTAGATATGGCAATAGCATACTGGAATATTGTTTTAATAGGGAGATTTAAATTTCTTGATTTATGGTGCACATTCTTACAGGTTAGTATAGTATGATAAAAAAATATGAAATTAGTTACATCTTAAACATTTAAGAGAAATATAATACCCTGTATAACCCATTTGTGGTTAAAAAGTTTGAACATTAAATATTACAATCAAATAAAATTGCAAAGAATTGTTAATTACTACATAGTTAACCGTTAACCATATTTCAAATACATATTTTAGGAAAATCATAAAAGGTCTATTCCAAGAGATACCTGGAATTTACTATTAGATTTTGCTCAACAAATTGCTGATGATATGAGCAATTATGACGAAGAAGGCGCATGGCCAGTTTTAATTGATGATTTTGTTGAATGGGCTTCTTCCAGATCAAAAGAACACCAACCTCACAGCACAAGTCAGTTAGAGTAGCAAAGTTTTTATTTATTTTTTAATTATATGTTATATTACAATGAGAGGTTTGAAAATTGTTTTTTTTTTCTTAATTTTAGGAAATAACTTTACAATCTTTGTGAATATTAATGAATATTATAGGCGTCCTATTGCAGGACCATTCAATGTACATAATTTTCATATTACTTTGTTGCAAATGAGTCTTTTAGTTTGTGAAATTTTGAATACTTAACTTCAATACATATGTACATTATACATTTATTGATATATCTGAAGAATATTTATTAAAAATATTATATCTATTATATTGGGTGTTTAAAATAGCATGTGCTATTATTGCAACCAGGTACTCGGAATGCTCAATTTTTTTTGTTGGTTTGGTTGCTTGAATTGACTTCAATTGATTTTTGATACCTAGTGCAATAGTAGTCATATTGTATTTTATAGATCCATTACACCATATAATGTTTTTCTTTTTTCTGCATTGTGAGTATAGTAGCAAATTATTTTTCTACATAAAAATAACATTAAAGCCACTGTTTTTTACATTCACAATACTATCCTTTAAAAGGGTATTTGGTATAGAGACAATAGCCTTATCAGCAAAAACAATCTTGATATGCATTTTAATTACAACAGTACAAGTGATAAATGTGAGGAGTGGTACCATAAAAAACTCGCAATTCTTTACTGCCTTGGTCGCTGGCCCAACAAGTGGATAATTTTGAACATGCGCTGTCAAGTCCATCAACAACAATAATATATAGGAGACAGATAATTGTGTGTGGTGTTTTATTCAGAGAATAACGGACAACTTATTTTTCAGTCTAGCAATGTAATCGCAATTTTCATTTTCACACAGAACTGATAGGTACACAGGGCTGCATAGCTATTAGACGTACCAAGTGCCCTACTGAGAATAGCTCTATCTCAACTATATCATTGAAATTATTAATCTTATGGATTTTGGAAAAAAAATGCGGGAAATTATTTTCAATGTCATAGAACGGCTGCTAGCGGGTAAAACTTTTAGGACGAATAAGAAAATGAGATTTTTACAGAATTTTGAACTGGGAAGTGGTATTATAAACAGTGGTATAGTAATCTTTAGCAAATTTAATTTTTTTTTGTTTGGACAATTTTGCTCTATCTGCTAAAGTCTAGCTACGTCTCGGTTAAAAGAGCGTTTTCTACTCTATATGCTTGTGACTGATCCTAGGGCGCAATGTCTGACAGTTGAACTTGTGCGTTTTTCCAAAAATTTGAAATGTATGTTTAAGTTTAGGTAATAGTAAAGAGAAATAAAAGCTTAAAAGGTCATTTTCCCGCCATTTCAATTTAGCAGAGGGAGCAAAATGGTTAAAAAAAAATTGCCAAAGGTTCACACCATCAGTTTCGTTCTCTAGCAGCCATTCTGGGAAGTTTCCAGGAATAATAATAATTGTTAAGAAGGGTCACTGAATATGAGGACACGTTTTCATCCAAAATTCAGCTATCGATTAATTCAATTTTAGTTATAAACATTAGAGCTATATTTGGAACAAAAAATAAGGAAAATAATTAATTTCTTGATAATCGCTTAAAGTAAGTATAGGGAAATACATATAGCTATTTGATAATCTAGCGGCCGTACATATGGTAAAATTGATATAAGTCAAGCGGCTATGATATTTCACATATCAACTTGCACTTTGCTTAACTTTAAACTTAAATCCCTTTTTCCGTGAATATTTAATGGAATCTGTCATGTCGAACGCCACCGTTAGTTGGTCTCAAAAGCCTTGGTATTAGTGTTTACTATCCACGTTTAGGTTAACATCTATATATATGAGTTGATTATTTATATTTGCGGGCTCAATGGTTTTATTTTTCAAACTAAGTGATCACCCTTGCTATGGAGGTCTAATCTTCTAGAATACTTCCCGAGGGCTGCCATCTGTGAAAACTCTTCGATTCCCTCATATTCGAGTTTCTTAGAGCGTTTTTGGGCGTCGTAAATCTTTATTCCAGTTTTTTTTTTACACGATTCGTGCTACACCCAGTACGAGTGTCAAAAAGTGCCATTAAGACGTAATCACAAGCTTTGATTAATTTTAATTAATGCATTTGGTTGTGCTCCTTTTTTAAGTCCATTGTACTCACGCATATTTAACATTACGCAAATTTTAAGAGGCAAGTTAATTCTTCTTCTTCTTAAAAGATGAATATTTTTCTGATATCGGTTGTTAGGTGTAATGAGTATTTGTTTGCTATCGTATTTGGTGACTCAAATTACGAACATCTATTGAAGTTATGCAACATGTTTTACTTTTTCAGTCATTTGCGTTTTATATATATATATATATATATATATATATATATATATATATATATATATATATATATATATATATATATATATATATATATATATATATATATATATATATATATATATATATATATATATATATATATATATATATATATATATATATATGATGACACTATATTCCGGGATATCATCCGTTCGCTCGTTGAACTCCGACTGGAATCCTGCAAATCCTGCATCCGACTGGAATCCCGCAGACGTTTCGCCAAAATCTCACTTGGCATCTTCAATGCTCGCGCTCCGAAAACACTTCGAACACTCGCGCTCCGAAAACACTTCGAACACTCAGCGAGCATTGAAGATGCCAAGTGAGATTTTGGCGAAACGTCTGCAGGATTCCAGTCGGATGCAGGATTTGCAGGATTCCAGTCGGATGCAGGATTCCAGTCGGAGTTCAACGAGCGAACGGATGATATCCCGGAATATAGTGTCATCACATTTTTCCATCCGTGAATCAATACGTGAGAATATATATATATATATATATATATATATATATATATATATATATATATATATATATATATATATATATATATATATATATATATATAAATTCCAGAACTTCTCTGAAATAGTGGTCTTCAAGGTACAGTGCCAAGTTACTTAATCCTTTAAACATTATTTTGTCTATATTTTTGAAAATTGTAGAACATAATTTTTCTCCAAAAACGATAACTTGCAGTTATTAATCAAAATTTAAGGCATAATTTTTTTAGACAAATTCATTGGTTTTGGTTTGTATTGTTTTTTTTTGTTATTCTTGAAAGAACCCAACAATAATAATCTACGGCATTTTCGTGCACCATTTTGTTGCGTGCTTTTTTTATCGCGTCTGGTTAAAATTCGCTATATAGACGAAGTGAAATCGAGGAATCTGTTAATTATTTAATTTATAATAATTAAGAATACAAGTAAAAGTTAAAATGCACTGGCCGTAACGGAACACATGCGTTGCAATTCTTCATTACGCTGTGTCGAAAAAAAATTACAAAATTGATTTAAATTTAATCTATAATATTACGCCGCTCGCGTTTTTTTTTTTAAATAGGAGAGATAAGAATTTCGTTTGATATATTAAAGTAGAGATGATAAATGCCTCTAAATAAATGGCAATGGAAAAAAAAAGTACTCTTCAATATCTCCAAAGCTGCAATACCTGGAGGCTTTTGATAACAGCAGGGCCGTCGGATTTACCATTTTTACAAAAAAAATCACAGAATTTTGGCGATTTTGGAACATAGGAAACTTTAAAAGTGAAATGTCATCATCATCTCGAAATCTGGCAACATTACTGTTAGCGTTTTTTATTCCGTTCAAAAAACCCCCGTTATTGAATTTTATCGTTCTAACTTCTAACTAGTTTTAGAGTTTTGAAGCTATAAGATCTTACTAAATTTGACATGAGGAATTTATTGCAATAAAAATAAATAGGGTATTCCCTTTTAATATAACATTGTTGAATTCTGCTGGTTCAAAAACTTCCAGGTATTCTATTTTATCATTCCAGTTTTGGAAGTTTTGCTTTTTTACTAACCCGAAATATTTGTATATACTGTATCACTGCTTTAATCGTTGAAATATCTTTTTTTCGTTATTCTATTCTGTAGCTTGTCTTATGGAGAATGTTCTTCGGTTAATTATCCCACGCATTGTTGTTTACCTTGTATGATTTGCGGAAAAACGTGCTCTAAGTGATCAATAATCATGATTTTGTATGCCTAAGACAGTTCGCACTCTAAAAAAACATTTTTTTTTTCAAATGTGTTATCTAAAAGATTAAACTTTTTCTTTTTAAGAGGTGCAAAACCAAATATATATACCGGGTGTTTCACGGTTACCGTTCCCCTAGAGGGCGAACGGTACATTGGAGTGTCGTTCTAAAAATTTGGTTAGTTTCATAAACGGCAACGCTCTGTCGATCTAAAATATTTTTACCGCTGCGACGTTGTCGCTTCTTCGAAAAAGTAGCGTCAAAATTGAAGTTTTAAATGGTAATACTTTATGATTGTTTTTGAATAATACGTTCCTATACCTATCTTTAGTGGTTTGTGGGAAAATAATTATTTTCTTCATTTTTCCAACCGAGACATAGTTTCAAATACGTTTTTATTACTATGACACTGGAGCCAGTAGAGTTAAAATTTTGTCCCTTCACCTAAATCGTTTTGTTTCTGAAATAAAAGCAAGTTTCACTGAAAACGGGATTACTGCGGCATAATTCATCTTTTAGGTGACCGACGAAGCAAACTTTCAGAAGGGTCTATTTTCAATAGAAGGGCTGTCGACAATCCTCATGCCACACGGCAAATGTGATTTCAAAAGAAATTTAATTTAAATGTGTTTTGCTTGTCAAAATATAATCAAGTAAGTTTTTTAATTTATGATGAACCATAGAATACTGAACAATACGTTCAAATATTAAGAACAGTGGCCTTCAAGAACTTGTACCTCTTGGTATCAAGTAGACGGCGCATCGGCTCATTGCATTGATTGATTGTGATACAAGAATAATACGCATTGTTTAATGATCACTGATATTGACGTTTGGGGCCATGGGATTGGCCACCAAGATCGCCATTAGATTTTTTACCTATGGGGTGCGTTAAAGTCACGCGTCTATTTGACACCACTGTAGAGCAAGGAAGAGTTACCCGATTGTACGATGCTTTGAACAAATAGACCCTTTGGAGATAAAGAACCCTTCGAACCCTTAAAGTAAAAATTAGGTGTATTTTTCTGTGTGCAATTTTTATTTTAAGTACCTAATATTTTGTTAGTTTGTTGATGCTATTAGTTAGTTTCTATTGTTAAAATGTAAAATGGTTTGTAAAACGTTTCTTAATTCTGGTAAATTTTCTCTTGTTCGTAAAAAATAAATTATTTAACATAAAACGGAAATTTCATGGCCACCTAATGGCCTATGACAAAGTAATCCAGTTTTCAGAGAAACTTACTTTTATTTCATAAACCAAAGCATTTTGGTTAGTTTTGGTTAGAGACATGGTTCTATTGTAGGCAAATCATTAGGGTTGTTCAACGGTATGATATAGAACTAACTTCTATATTAACCAATAGTGTAGTTAACTTTCTA